TGGTTCTTGGGAGCTGCCTGATGGTTCGCCATCCAAGCCACCGCCTGGCAAATCTTTAATCCCCCCGTGGGGTCGAACATCCTTCGACCCCGTCATTCGGCAATAAATCGGCTTAGTGGGGTTTCTTTGCAGCTCTGGTGGTACGGTACGTATCACCGCAGCAGCTTCAGCCAGAACATACATCATTTCCTCGATCCTACATGGAACCAGTCCAGTTACGCAGACGAGCGTTAGTGTACAACAGCATCCACGCAACGACGCCCCACAGTCCTGCCATAGTCATAACTCAAGGTCACTTGCCCACATACACAGTTCATTAGATACATTAATCTACAACAACCGCAGCAGTTCCAGGTCCTTGGCTACAGCCGGACTATGCGGTGCGCAGCTCTCCAGGAACCGCAGCATTTCCTGATTCCATTGCTCCCAGCCCGGGGGTAAGGTATCACGCACGCGGGATTCTGGTGAGTGGGATATACAGTAGAAGAGGAGTACTTGGCCGAAAAATCTGGGAGAAGGTCAATCACTATCGCATGGAAAGGGGGCAGGCAGATATAATGCTTGCGAGACTCACTGAGAGCAGAAAGCGAAACGGATCGGAATGCAGCTCTTCATCAGGCGGAAGATGCCGCCGACAACAGGCCAGTTCATGGCGTTCAGCAGTCCGCTACGGATTTGTTCGAGATCATGGTCCGTTAATGAGCTGGGGATGTGGAGGGCTTTGTAGAGGTAAGGCCGGCCAATGTGGAATTTGGCAATCATGTAGCGACCACGAAGCATAGCTTCGGAGACGGCGGTCGCGGGAGAAAGGGCATGACGGGTCGGGTCGAACGGTAAGTGAGATTCGGTGGATGGAGAATCGGCTGTATCATGGTCTGTAGAAGGGTTGGGTGGATTGTCGGAGAACTGCAGGGCAGCAGGTAGGTTGACCCGCCACTGATCTAGCTGGTGGTGCAGCTCTGTATTGATGGCTGGACGGGGGAATGTCCCTGAGTCGGCTGTAACAGAGCTAATGTCAGTTGTGACTCAACGAGCGCGCACAAATAAGAGGCGATCAACTCACAGTAGAAATACAATGAATTGCGGATACGGGTTAGTATTATACGGTGAGCGACCTGCGCAAGGAAATGGTATTGGAAAAAAGAATCGTCAATCTCGTCCAAAGACAAGGTTCGAGATGCGCCGAAGCCAACGCTTTCGAAGCTGATAAACTTGGGGATTGGGACAAGCTCTTCAAGGCGTGCAAGGCCGCTCGGCGGCACATGTAGTTCTTGGATAAGGATTGTCTCGTTCATGAGACAATTCCAGTACACTCTTGACTTCATGTCGCCTTCCCACTCGTCAAAATGGACGTCACGGCTAAGGATGTTAGCCACCTAATCGCCACGGGAAGGATAGTGGGTAAATCACATACTTGGTGAGCATGGAAAGACAACAGGTAGCAGCACGATGGATCATAGCCCAGGAGTCCAAGGGCCGCAGGATCTGACTGTAATAAACACTGCAACCGCGAGTCAGAATCTGACGATCAATCTTGTAGTAGACTTGTGGAGTGATCGTACAATGAAAGTAAATAGAATTGGCAGCTTTGCAAATCGTTGCCACACATCAAGAAGCCCATGCGTTGGCGAGCCTCGTTGAAAAAGCGTAAGCCAGGAGGTTCTTCACAGACGACCCCCATCCACTCGGGCGGCTCAAATCGACTAGTCCTGCTCCCTGGTAAGGGATAGTTTCCTTCTTGATAAGCGTGGACTGCAATACAGCCTAGGGCCATGATATTCAGGGCGAGACAGCTCTCGATCGTATATCCGAAGTTGCTTTCAATCGCAGCTCCTAGTGTCGAGGCGAAGTAGAAGTTCTTGTCGACGATCGGCGTGTAGAGGTTAAACATGGTGAAAAATGCGTCCGAAAGCCCTTTGATCATGGCTAGTGGGAGCGCCTCCAGCCAGTTGTTTCCAGCGTGCGGAGGAAAGGGGCAAATGTACATCGGCAACATAGGCCTTTTCATCTCGATGTCAATCACGTAGTTCTTCCCGAGCTTCTCATAGGCCTCGAGAAGTCTAACTGGAAGGATGTTTTGAGCTCCAAGCCAAGAGATCACCCCATGCTGACTGAAAGAGATTGAAACGAGGCCAGTCGAATCCACTGGGCCTGAGGGGAGATAGCTAGGGCTGTCATGCTCTAGATCGTTATTGAGTTCCACTGTTCTCGGTGTGAGGCCTTGCAATTGAGACCTTTCAGAGCCCACCGGCTCCTTAGAGCTGAGATTACGCCGTGTTAGAGGCGAGACACCTGGGGAGGCATCTAATGCCTGAATCATTTCATTTCGAAGGGAACGAATGTCGCCGGATATGGCAGTGGGGACACTTTCAAGTTTTGTCTCGAGTCGATGGAGAGTGCTCATAATCAGACTCAGAGAATGATCCCGCCTGTGATAAATTAGTCCGATAAGGCTATCATTAGTAGGTGCTTAAGGGCCCCTCACTTCGAAGTCTTGCGCTCATTATAGACGCATTCCAAGCCAAGCGACTTGCATAGTCCACATTTTGGCCGTGATTCGTCACACCTGGTCTTTTTCAATCTGCAATTCTCACAGGCCTATGACTACATGTTATTTCGATGCATTTACGCCAGACTTCTTTTGAAGAAGTGTGATAGGGCGATGCGAAAAGAGTAACCTACCACTGTGGCTATGAAATTCCGGGGTTTCTTAACCGAGCCCGAGGCCCTGCTGTGCTCCGGGCTGTCATGAGAGAGATGATCGGGAAGCTCTGGAGTCTGAGAGTCACTGTGGGATAATGACCCTGAATAGGGACGTTTGTTCATGGTATAGAATCACGAACAGTTTGGGTATCATGACATCGTTGCTAAGTGCACTAGATGGCTCTGCGATCCGGATGAGTCGATAGATAGGCGGCTTCATGTGACTCGAAAATGCTCGCTCCGCGACCACGTGACCAGATGCTGGGGACGGATGTGTTTGCGTTGTTTGCTGCTTGCAGCTGCGATTTCGCGATAGGCGATAAGTTAGCAGTGGGCCTTCCGGCACGTGCAGCGGAGTTTGCGGAGCTAAGCATGGACTGTGCATTTACCCCACGGCGCTCTACCTTGGCATCCTGACTTACTCCGCACTTTTCAAGCTATTTACCAAGTGCGCCGACGAGAGTGCAATCCTGCTACTAGGTTCCATGGATTGGTCGTCTCGTGGAAGTTGTGAAAAAGCTTTGTGTTTTCAAGGCTCTATCTGTCTCATCGGCGCCCAGAGCCGTTTCTCACATTTTGCCTGTAGCTCAATAATAGGAGCATTACACGACTTCCCGACAGGTTGTTGAACAATCACGTTGCTGATATGAGATGGCTAATAAAATAAAGCATTTGAGCATCACTTAATCAGTACTAGATGCTTTGTTCATTGGAGATGAGAGCTTTAGTTGGGTCGCAGTTCTTCTGCGGAAAAGGAATCAAGGCTACAGACAGTTTCATCGGCAGCGCAATGTGGAGAGCATGTTCGGGATGTGGACATAAACTGCAAACTCAGGAATAGCTTTCAACTGCATTGATATATCATGTGCAAATGCTCAAGAATTCGATATGATACAGAGACACTGCGATTGATGTCAAGATGGCTTCCTCCGATTACAGCAATCATTTCTCTATCAAGAACCTTCCATACGGTGTCGCCTCGTCTTCGACGCGAGCTGGCCCGCAATGCGTGACTCGGCTTAACAACACCGTCATCTTCCTAGATGACCTTCAAAGGAACGGAGTATTCAATTCGGTCACAGATATTCCTTCTGGAATCTTCGAACCATCCACTTTGAATGATTTTGCTGCCCTCCCCAAGACAATCCACACGCAAGTCCGTCACGCCCTGCAAGTGGCGCTACAGAATGGCGTGGAGGCTCTCCCCACAGGGAGCACTGCAGACATCAGCGAGGTCCAGATGCATCTCCCTGTCTCGATTCCAGCTTACACAGGTCATTAACCTTACCCTAAAAGTATCCTCCACAAGCAAAAGCTAACGACAACCTCCGCAGACTTCTGCAGCAGCAAGGCCCACAACATCAACGCCGGACGAGCGATCCTCGGCCACGAGAGCCTGCCGCCGTGCTTCTACCACATTCCCATCGCCTACAACGGACGTGCCAGCACGATCACCGTCTCTGGGACCCCAATCCACCGGCCCTGGGGCCACTTTGTCGACAGGACCGTAACGACCCACAAAGAGGTAATCTACGCGCCCACGCGCGCCTTGGACTACGAACTCGAGTTGGGCATTGTGATCGGCGCCCCGCTGCCGTTGGGCCAGGGGCTTACTGCCAAGGATGCTGAGGCACATATATTCGGGCTCGTGCTCTTGAATGACTGGAGTGGTACGTCGACTATGCAGTCTCTGTGAAGCCATCGAGATTGATTTTCCCTCCATGGCATTTCACCTTCCATCTGGCAGGAACAGACAAGAGTATTTGGCTAAAAAGCGCTACAGCACGCGACATCCAAGGCTTCGAAATGATCCCCCTCGGCCCACTGAACGGGAAAAATTTTGGCTCGACCATCTCCCCATGGATCGTCACCTTGGAGGCGTTGGAGGCGTTCCGCACAGACGGCCCGGAGCCGCAGAGCGCTTCCATCCCGCCGTACCTGCAGGACTCGGGCGCCTACAATTATGACATCCAGCTGAAGGTCGAGCTGGAGACTGCTTCTGGGGGAAGGACGGTGCTGGGAGAGACTAATGCGAAGGAGCTGTACTGGAGCCTTGGGCAGATGTGCGCGCATCTGACGAGCACGGGGTGCAACCTACACACCGGGGAGATTCTGGGCACTGGGACGGTCAGTGGGGCTGCGGAGGGGTCCTATGGCTGTCTGCTGGAAGTGACCAAAGGAGGCAAGGTGAAGGCTAAGCTGGCCGACGATGACGAGCGGACATACCTTGTCGATAAGGATGTGGTGATCATGACTGCTTGGGCGGGCGAAGGAGTCGGGTTTGGCGAGTGTACGGGGCAGATACTTCCTGCTAAGGAAGTGCAGGCTTAGATTAGTGCTGTTGTACAGAAACCTGAAGCTAACCCCCAGATCCCCCTGTTTCAGCTCCGCGGTAGCCTCAATCCCAAGTCCAGTAATATAATAGTATCTGGGGGAGAACCCCCAGACCCCCCTTTTCTTTCAACTCCCAGACCCCTTAATCCTAAGTCTAATAATTTAAGTATTCTGGGGGAGAACCCCCAGACCCCCCTTTCTTTCAACAACCCATCAACCACAACCTAGGAATCAACCCTAATCCTCCCACAAAGCACCACGTCCTCCCCAAAAGGATACCACCTAACCCCCGTCAACCGCGACGCCGGCACAACCGCCCCGCCCTCCACCCTCCGCGGCGGACAAACCACCACCCCGCCCCGCCCCAACCACGTCGGCGCAATCGTCACGATCACCGAACTGACCAGACCCTGAAACCTCGGCTCCAACAACGAATTAATCACCGCCGCCCCGCCCTCAATCATAATACTGCGCACCCCCTCCTCCCGCCGCAGATACTCCAGCACCAGCCTCCAATCGAACTCCTTCCTCCCCTTTCCCTCCCCATCCCCCGGGAAATTCCCCCAAGGCACCGGAATAAACCGCCCCCCAACCCCCTCCAACACCCCCCTCACCTCCGAGTCCACCTCCGTCCCCGCCGCAATCAGCACCCACGGCGCCCGCCCGCGGCCCCGCCGCACCATCTCCACGATCTTGGCCTGCGGCGTGATCCGCCACCGCGCCGAGGGATCCACGATGATGGGCCGCGGTTGGCCCTCCAGACTCCCCGGTGCAGCTCCGTACCCGCCCACGCCCGCGATTCGGCAGTTCAGGCCCGGGTCGTCGGCGATGGCCGTGCCGACGCCGATCAGGATCGCGTCGTGCCGCGAGCGCAGGTAGTGCGTCATGGCTTTGGATTGCGGGCCCGAGAGGACGGTGCGCGTGCCTGGCGATAAGGCGAGGGAGGAGTCGAGCGAGGTCGCGAAGGTGAGGGTCGTGAATGGGAGGGTTGGTTCGGCATTCTGGGTTGGGGTGGTGGTTGAGGGTGCGGGCGAGGGGATGGGGGGGAGGTGTGGTTCGAGAAATTCGCGGTCGGAGGCGGGGAAGGTTAGGGCGTCGCTTGGGGGGGTGGTCATGGCTTTTCTCGATTGTCTTTTTGGGTGGTGGTGTGGAGAGGTTGAGGATTGGTGTGTTGGGAATCGAGATGTGGGCGTGTGAGGTATTGAAGGTTAAGTTGTTGATGGATGTGTTTGAGGTGTGAAGGAGTGTTTGCGGGGAAAGGTGTCGATAAAAATGTAACATGCCTTAGGCTATGAGGCATCACCTCTAGGTGCTGTAGTTGCTGTAACTTACCCCACTATCGACGGGAGATAATCAGCGATTTTGCCCCTCACCGGTGGCCGTTTGAGGGGGTTCTTGGCGAACACCTTGAAGTTTGTCAGAGCTTGTGTCTGGAAATTATCTACTACTCTGCATGTACGGAGTACGTAGACAGAATTCTGGAAACTCCAAGTCGAAAATTGAAAATCTTGATTATGCATCTAAAATCATGAGAGGAGTATCTAGGCTAATAATGCTATCTAAGAAACGAAAACAAATGCGATCGTAATCCGTGAAGATGCGAAGACTGATCTAGTTGGTAACCACAATATGCACAACCATCGGCTCAAGCGGGGATACCACCGGTACCGAACAGCTCCATCTTGATGCGCTCATCGGCAACGCCTGCGGCGGTCAGCTTCTGCTTCACATCCAGCATGAACGCGGTCGGGCCACAGATGTAGTATTTGGTGGTCGCGTCATCCAGGTAGAGGTCCTTCTGCTTGTCCAGCTGGTTCACGTCCAGGCGGCCCGCGACATCGTAGTCCTCGCCCTGCTTCTCCTCGGCGCCGGGGTGGCTGGTGAAGAAGAGAGCGTGCAGGTTGGGCACCTTGGCAGCCAGCTCCTTGATCTGCGGGCGGAAGGCGCGCGCCGCGGAGGTGCGCGCGCCGTGTGCGTAGGTGATCTTGCGCTGGGTCTGGGCCTCGGGGCCGTCGAGAATTGTGTTGAGGATGGAGGTGAGCGGGGTCAGGCCGACACCGGCGGCCAGGAGGACAATCGGGCTGCTGCTCTGCTTCTCCTCGTCGGCGAGGAAGAAATCACCGTAGGGGTGAGAGACGCGGACGATGTCGCCCTCCTTCTTGAGATCGTGCAGGATGTTGGAGACGTAGCCAGGGTGGCGCTTGGCCGAGGGCTCGGTGGGCTCGAGGCCGGCCTCCCTCTTGACGCTGATGCGGTAGTACTCCGGCACCGGCTTGTCGCTGAGCGAGTACTGGCGGCTCTGGGGGTAGTTGAGCTCCGAAACGAACACCTCCACGGAGATGTACTGTCCGGGGCGGAAGGCCGGCAGAGGCTTGCCGTCGACGGGCTCCAGGTAGAACGAAGTGATCTCAGACGACTCGGGCACCTTCTTGGCAATGCGGAACTCGCGGAAATCAGTCCAGCCGTCCGCCTCCTTGTACAGGTCGGCTTCGCGGTTGATCATGATGTCGGCCAACTGCCAGTAGGCGGCACCCCAAGCATCGAGGATCTCGGGCGTCAGGGCGTCTCCGAGGACTTCGCCCATGGCCTCGAGGAGGTACTTGCCGACGATCTTGTAGTGCTCGGGCCGGATATAGAGGGAGGCGTGCTTGTGGCAGATCAACTCGACCGCGGGACTCAAGGCACCCAGGTTGTCGATGTTGGAGGCATAGGCGAAGAGAGCGCCGGCGAGAGCGACGGGCTGGTGGCCATTGACCTGGTTGGCCGTGTTGAAAACGGTGTTGAGCTCAGGGTGTGCAGTGAGCATGTTCTTGTAGAACACCGTCGTGATGGTCTTGCCATGAATCTGCAAGACAGGCACGGTGGCCTTGATGATGGCAATTTGTTCTTGCGTCAGACCCATGATGTAATGATATGATATCAATATGTCAACAAATGTTCTGATTGATGCAATGTCAATGTATTTGTATGTCTTGGAGAATGCAAAGGATAAAGCAATTTCATCCGTGAGCCCACGGGTGTATTTATATGCCAATGGGCAACCAATTGGCCCAGGAGGTCGACAATAGAGTGGGTATGCATGATGTGGCGGACGAACTTTTTTTCATGCGGTTTTTTGCATCGGGCGGAAGAAAACTGACATCTCCGCGGAGAAGCTGGGGAAGAAGTCAGTTGGTACAGTTGGTTCAGTCGGTACCTCGCCAAACAGCCCGAATCGAATCAGGTTCCTGACAATGTTAAGCCGGACGGTCCAATCTCGGTCTTGGTGTCTACGGGATGGATTGAATTGCTGGATTGGCCCCTGAATGCGTGGCTTGCAGTCTGTAGTCGGGTACCTCATAATAACTAAGACATCTGTTGCAATGCCCGTTCGTATTGAGTCTCAATCCTGAGACCATATTCCTCCCTGGGATGTATACAGAGATAAAACACGAACGCAGTAGCGAGGATATGGGACGACCAGCCAACAGTCATGAGGCAATAAATTATTATACGAAAAGGATCAGCCCATGTCCGACCGGGAGTTTTAGGGGATTCTGGTCTGGCAGAGGCCGAGTCTCGGCCGTTGTATGATTAGAGTATGGTTTACCGCAATCCAGGAACCATGGGTACAAATTGGCATGGCGCGGGTGTGTTGAGTCAGTGGGACTTGGAAAACTTCATCGCGAGGCCATAATTACTAGGTAATACTAACTTGTTAACGGCAGGTTCTAGAGCCAGCAAGAAAATCTACCCAAGAGACGGAAGAACGGCTCCTGCGGGAATTGCGGAACATGCGGCCGCCCTATCAGAGACCGCCCGACCGTGCTGACCGGGTGTGCACTCCTTAGTCAGACACTGCACTAAGTTGCATAATATATGCTTGCACATTGCACATGAGGGCCCAATTAATGACTCTACTTACTAAGCTATGCTATATCCCTGCACGTGATAAGGCCAGGTACCTCGCCTGCCTGAAAGTGACGGTGACATTAGCCTACCCGAGCTAACCCAATGCGGAATCTCCCGCTGGCTGCCCGCAAGTGGCCGGCTGGCACTGTAACATCATCCATCATACAGTGACCTCATGTTCAATGTCGGCATGCAGCCATCTTAGTCAGGATACTCGATGATGCTGCCGATACTGATGCTGAAACGCCGATGATGCTGAAGGAATGCTTTACTGCATCTCGCAGGGCTGTTGAGAAGCCGGTCAGCAGCACATCAGCTGCCCTGGCAGTGGATTGCTCTCCACTCGAACCCTTCAGTGCATGGAGTCATATGCGTGGCAACACTCCTCGCTATGACTCGGTATCAGTAAGAGAAAGATAACTCTAATCTGCCGATGTCACCTTTCTTTCTACTACGTGACGTTTCGGGTGTTCCTTTCCGGTTCCATGCCCGTCCACGCGTTCTCCAAAGGCATTGTCTGCTGGATGTCACCGTCCTGCTCGAGTATCCTTTCCCAGGGTTGCCTCGCTCGCTGATGACTCTGCAACTATTTACCATGCACCTCGTCCTGCTCGTCGCTGTGGCCTTTTCTTCTACACCTTGCCGCAAGACCTCACTCTCCTCACGTCCGGCTACTTGACCAGTACTGATTCATACTTCTGAAACGTCCCGCCTTATTATCAATATGCCGGGGAAAACCGCACCGCCGCGCCGGATCACCAAGTTCACAAATTGCCGGATTGTGAAGGGTAGCCAGCTCGTGAAGGAAGACCTTTGGATTGACTCATTGTCCGGCAAGATCCTTAAAGACCAGGAAGCGTTCTACGACTTTCATCTCTCCCCGGATGAGGTCATTGATCTCGGCGGGCGCATCGTCGCCCCGGGACTTATCGACGTGCAGCTGAACGGTGCCCAGGGCTTTGACTTCTCTGTACCCCAAGCCACCACCGAGGAATATGAGAGGGGTCTGCGCATGGTCAACAAGGGCCTTGCTCGGATGGGTGTGACCTCATATCTCCCTACCGTTGTGAGCTCCACGCCAGAGGTTTACTGGAAGGTATGTCTACGGAAAGCACTGCCTGGCTTGAAGATATCGACTAACCAGTGGCAATTATTGCTCTAGGTCCTACCCTCGTTAGGTCCCACAGAAAGCGATGCCCAGCCTCAAGACGGCGCCGAGTCACTGGGCGCCCACGTAGAAGGGCCGTTCATCAGCCCCGGTCGCAACGGCATACACAAATCCGAAGTGCTGCGCGCAGCCCAGAGCCTAGAAGACATAGTGGAATGTTACGGCTCCAACAATCTGACCGGGTCATCCCAAACGGTCCGAATGATCACTGCGGCGCCGGAAGTCGGCAACATGCTGAACCAAATCCCATCGCTTACCTCGAAAAACATCATCTATTCGATCGGCCACTCAGACGCAACCTACGAGCAAGCTCTCGCCGCTACCCAAAGCGGCGCTACCATGATCACCCACCTGTTCAATGCCATGCGCCCGTTCTACCATCGCAACCCCGGAGTCTTCGGCCTGTTCGGTCAGACCGATCGCCCGCGTCCCTTCTACGGTGTCATCGCAGACGGCATCCACTTGCACCCGACTTCAATCCGCATCGCCTACAACGCTCACCCGACCGGGCTGGTTCTCGTGACGGACGCCATGAGGCTTTGTGGACTACCAGACGGAGTCTACGACTGGACTAACGGGGACCGCATCGTGAAGACCGGCGCACGGCTGACCCTGGAGGGGTCGGATAAGATCGCCGGAAGCTCCGCGACCTTGATCGAGTGCGTCAACAATTTCCGTCGGTGGTCAGGGGCCTCGACCGCAGAGGCCTTGAATGCCGCCACGGCCACCCCGGCGCGTCTTCTTGGCTTGGAGGGAGTCAAGGGCTCGTTGAGCAAGGGCGCGGATGCGGATCTGATCGTTTTGGATGACGAAGAGGATCCCTTCTCCGGCCCGACCTTGACTATTCGTCAGGTGTGGAAGCGGGGTGTGAAGGTATTCGACACTGAAGATGATAGTGGTGTTGTTCCTTCGAAGGCTTGAGTCTTCTATTTAAACTTGCCTTTGGCTAATTTTGCTTCGTTGAGCGTGGTACTTGGCTGTCAAAACATCAGATCGGCATGAAGTAGACTAGAGCACTGAACTATGGATGCGATGGTTGGCTTCAGCTACTTACCTGTTGAGCTGTGTACTTGCTTTCAAGATTGGGGTTGGCGCATCGTGTTCTACAGCGTATTTAAAGTAGACATTGCTTAAAGATTAGAGAGGCTGTATTTCCATTCTAAATTATTGCCATCCAAGGTTTATCTTTCAAGGGTCTCCCTATAGTAGATTCCGCCCTGGTGCTTTTGAGTGGTGAAATTTCTCGCCTGTGGCAGCGATGCTCTGATGGCTTGTGGTTCCGATCACAATGTTCCAAGTTGTGTTGCAATCTTCACGACTAGCCAGATAACACACCGCCAACAGCCTGCTATTTCCAAAGGAGTTTCGAGTTCGTCAAGGCTCGCAAGGCTGAGGCAATTGACAACGACAAATAGCCCATCAAGAAATGGCCAGACCCGCCTGGCCCGCCGCCCCCAACCACCCAGCCGCCACATATATACTCCAGCAACGCCAACGCCAATGCCAGCCCGCTCCCTCCCCCGTCCTCTTCTGGCATCTCCTCAACCATCACGTCAAAAATGCAGCTTCTTCAACTACCCACGGAGATCCTGCAAGCCATCATCGGCCAGATCTCTTCCCGGGCGTCACTCGCTCGCCTGGCGCGTGTGTGCAGACAAGTCAAGGCGCTAGTCGACCCGATCCTCTACCAATCCGTCTACCTGCGCAATCACGACGGTGAAACCTTCATTCGCGCACTCGAGCTCCGCCCAGCCCTGGCGCAGTACATCCGCGAGCTTCTGATTCACTACCACTATGTCAATGTCCCCAATCAGCAGGAATACTACCCGCTGTTGGTGGAGAGTCTGGTGCCGACGATCCGCCGGCTGGTCAACCTCCGGCGGCTGACGGTCAAGGGGCTCCTCTACGATGCGCCGCGGGACTACGACGATCCGGACCTGGGCAATGCGGAGAGATTCGACGGTTACGCGGCGGAGTGGTTCCGGCTGTTCGAGCAGGCTGAGCAGCCGGGGGGCGCGGATATCCTGCCTTCCTTGGAGTCGTGTTCGTTAGACGATCCCCCTCTCCCGAAAAGTACACGATGCTGATTTCCTCGCTGAAGGCCACATGATCATGGACGACGTTCCCTACGACCCAGAGATCCGCACGGAACTGTGGAGCTTCGATACCCGGAGCTCCGTCATGGTCCACCCGCATCTACGGGACCTGACCCTGGTCGGAGCGCTCGTCGGGGGCCTGGATCCCGCCCTGCAGTACGAGCCGCGCTCCACCCGGCTGGAGAGTCTCACCCTGCTCTGTTGTGATGTATCCTCGGGCGGGTTGCGCGAGCTACTGAGTGTCCCCAAAGCCTTGACGCACCTCACCTGGAAAGGTGTCCCAGCAACAAGTCCCCCGGAATTCTGGCCGGCAAACCGACAGAGCTACGTCGAGGCTATTCGCACGCATGCCGACTCGCTGGTCAGTCTGGATCTAGACTTCTATGCGATTGGCGGCTACCACCCGCCGTTGGACTTCCGGGATCTCCGGAGTCTGCGGCAGCTAACGATTGATCCGACGGTGCTGAGAGGTGACAGTACGGATGCGGGTGGGCCCTCCACGGAGTGTCTGCTTCCTGACAGTATAGAGAAGTTGGTTCTTCGGGAGTATAGAGAGTACAGCGTGCCAGACCAGGAGACTTTGCCACTCGTCTATCGCTGGGCGATGACGGGGGCGCTGCCTCGTCTGCGGAGCGTCACGGTTCAGTCGGCCAAGTTCTCTCGAACTGAGATCTTGCATCGCGCCCTCAATGCGAAGATGTGTTTTGATGATGCTTTTCGGTCGGTTGGCGTGCAGCTCGAGTATGAGAAAGTCCGGTCCAGCCTGGAAGAGGAGCATGTCGGGTTCGACTGCCATTGTTGCACGTACGCCTTGCGATGGAATAACGGGTTGGACTATTGAGGTGTTGCATCAAAGGGGCATTGTTGTGAAATATGAACACGGATAATAACACGCTCGATTAACAAGATCTGGCAGGTTGTGCCTGGATGAGTAGCAATCGATAGGCACAATATGTCCGTGCTATCACTCCCGTCCCACAAAAGAACCAACAAGTCTCCTCCAGTGTACTAACCCATCAATCACACCACCTCTTACTATGAAGTACCTTCCTTACGTCCAGCCACCCACCCACACCCCAACAAAATCCCCATCCCACCATCCAGCCCTCAATGTTAGTTCCCCGTCATAACCCCCCAATCCCCCTCCGTCCACACCAACTTCATCCTCCACCGCTTAATCCTCCACCACCCGCTTCCCTCCGAAAGATCCCTCGCCACATCAACCGAATACAGCGCCCCACTCGTCAACCGCGAAGTATCAGGCTGATTCCCCTGGCCCGCGCGGAAATGCTGCGCCAACGCCGAGGCGGTCACAGTCGCGGTGGTACTATCCTCCGCGGGCAGGTTGATGCGCACATTGCTCAAAAAGTGGGTGGTGTCCAGCTGGGAAACAGGGTCCCAGCTGCCGGACTTGATGGCCGCGCGGCCCTCCATCACGCGGCCGTCGAAGTCGAAGACCGCGTCCTCGAAGAAGGCCGACTCGAAGAGGGGGAGGTCGGCGTCGTCGAAGGAGAGGACGGCGCGGTAGAGGGGGTCGATGATTGCTTCGCGCAGGGGGAGGGCGGGGAGGGTGGTGGGGAAGAAGGACATTGTTTTTGAGTTGGTGTAATGAGAATTCAGTGGTTCCTATGGCTGTGTTTCGCTGTTTTGGGGGTTGCTTTGGCTTGGTTGCGGTTTGGTGGAAGGGGACCGGGTGTACAGTACACTGTAGGGCTTGTGATTGTGGGAGGGGGCTATATACTACTAATCATACAGTTCTTTATAATGTGACCACCGATAGAGATCCAGACATCTGACAAGCCCGCCCGTGAGTGGCAGACGCGCTGTAGAGGCCGGAGACCGAAAGGAAATACCGAGTCTCCTACCGAGTCGTTCGGTCGAGGGCGTAAAATCCGCGACTAATCTCCGGGGCCCTAACCGGTAGGAGATGGGCTCTAGTGCCAATCATCGCCTTAAAGACGTGCTGGGAATTAATCCCTCATCGCCGGGATCACCAATGAGTACGATTAAGAGCCTAGAGTCTCCTGCAGAGAACTTATGCCTCATGCTTAGGGCGGCTGTAAGCCGTGCCCTGGCGTCAAGGAAATGCTTGTCTCTTCTTGGCTCTCCCCTCCCGTCCCGCGCCATGCCGATTCCGACTCAGTGGGCTTACAACATAGCGCCCTCGGCTTCAATCATTCTGCATTCTGTCTATAGGCCTGACCAAGGGTGGAACTGTGTTCATCGTCCCGTGAGGTCAGCGGGGAAGTTTGATTGAAGTCAGCCAGTCCATCCAGGAACAAGGTATCACCTACATCAAGGCCACCCCAGCAGAAAACTCCCTGTGGCTGGGCTATGGGAAAGTCGATCTGCGCAAGGCGAGCAACTGGTGCTTTGGCTTAGGAGACACTTGGGAGACTTGGGAGAAATAGGAGGGAGTCGCCGAGGTATATGAACAATCCCGAGCTGACTGACCATCACGTCTACCAGGACCGATAAGCCACAAGGGAGTATCTTGCCCACTGCTGGACACGGATGTATCGAACGAAGACATCGCGCACTTGCGGACTGACGATGCCCTGATGTTCCACAGCCGAGTTGCCGTTGACGCAGAAGTCAACACCCCGGACTGCGCATTGAGCTTGGGGCATCGAGAGCAACATGGTGAAAGCCTGAGAAGCGACTTTTCATGGTGTGGTAGTGGCTCTTCGCAAGAGCGATCCTCATCCTCTGCTGGTGGCTCATATGTCTTTGCCTCAAACTAGACTGCCAATGACCGGAGGCTTCGTTTCTCGCTGGCAGCATCTGCTCGTCCGGAGGAATGGTTCCTGTCATGACCATCTTCCTCGACTGCAGACCGTTGAGTGATCATTCCAACATATATTTTCCTCTTTTGATAAAAACCTCATCAGCATTTTTTATTCTTCCAGGACCCATTTTAATTCGACTACTCAAAAGCTTCTACTGTAACTGACTGATTTGCATCTTCATTTAAAAGATGGGTTACCAAACTCACCGAGTCTTATGCTCTACTTAACTGTAGTCCTCCCATCAACTGGCGGAGAAAGACAAGCCGGACCCACAGCGCGGCGTCATGCGGCCCTCTCGGCGACCACATCTGGCAGCCGAGGTCACTAGATAAGACTCGCGGCGGCAGCTCCGGCCCATCCTCTAAAGCCTCAATTCCACCCCAAACCACCACAACACACCCCGGCGCAAAGCGCAACAATCTCCCGTCGAAATGTCCCGAATGTCCCCGGCGCTCAAAGCGCTCATCAACTCGCCCGCCGCGCGACCCAACACCCTGCCCGCGCCGCGCAACATCCAGTCCGTGTACGCGAAGATCCAACAAGAAGCGCAAGCCAAGGGCATTTCGCAGCCCTCCTGGCTGGCCCTAACGGTGCGTCTCCCTCCCCCGTCCCCCAGACCCAGACTTAACCCAAACCTCCCGTGGGGGAAATCCAGACAGCCACAACAATGACCATGAACTCGCCGGACTCGCTAACCGTGCTCTACGACCTCGCCACCTCCACCACCTCCACCTCCCCGGCAACCCCCGAAACAAACCCCCCCACCCCCCTCGCAACCGCCGAACTCATGCGCGAAGTTGGCCTCAAATGCATCAGCTTCAACGGCATCCCCCGCACAATCAACTGCCTGAACGCCTTCCGCGCCAGCCTGCCCGCCCACATCACCGCCAACCTCTCCACAACGCCCACCCGCGAACCCACCCCGGCCACCATCGAGGGCATCCGCGCCCGCGGCCGCGCCCTCTGGGACAGCATCTACCGGCCCTTCGAGACGAAACTCTACGACAAGCTGGCGCGCGCGCACCCGGACCTGCCCGTGCACATTTTGAATATGAACTACGGGGCGCTGCTGGCGGATCCCCCCCGGGACACGGCCGGGAAGGTGGGGCGCGTGCTCACCTCGCTGGTGGCCGTGGCGTGTCTGCGCGCGCAGACGGGCGTCGCGCCCCAGGTGACCTCGCATGTGTTTGGGTTGCGGAAGGCGGTCGAGGATGGGAGTTGGGCCGGGGATGTTGAGACGCAGGCCGGCGCGGAGTGGTTGGCCAGTGAGGCGGGGAATTTGTGGGTTCTGGAGAGTGTGGATGCGATTGTGGGTGCGATTGGGGGTGGGGAGGGGAGTTTTGTTCCTGTTGGGGCGGGGAGGAGTGGGAAGTTGTGATTTTCTCTTGGGGGCGGGGGAGAGGGGGGTTGTATATAGGTAGGTGGTTGGGGGTTGTGTACTACTTTGTGATTGTATAGAGAAAGATGCACGAATAGAATATGTTGACTGGTGTCGTTCACCATCTCGGTTTGTGGTTTGCGTGTCTCGGGGCAGCACTGGTCTGGCTATCACTCTAGACTCTAGCAGGAGACGAGATTTAAGTGCTGGTATAATTATAGAGCCGAAGGTGGACGTTCTTCTTATCCATAGCTCATCAACCCATCCTCAGGAGCCTATGACGCAGCTCCCGTAGATTCAGCCGGATATACCATACCTAGTAGCACCCTCACACCGAGTGGATCGGAAGACAGGTGGGTCATCCAAGACTCCACGCGCCGACTAATTGGCAATCCGGAAAGACAGAACCCATTATCACCTTCTGTTCTCTCCAAGGTCAATGCCCAGGAAATAAGGTGATCTCTGCACAAGGCGTATGCGCTCATAGCGCTAGTTTTTTGGGATTGTGAAGCCAAGCTAGGAAGCCCATTACATCAACTGGGTCCCATAGCTCAGTTGGTTAGAGCGTAACGCTAATAACGTTAAAGTCGAGGGTTCGAGCCCCTCTGGGACCAGCTTCTTTTTTTTACTTTTGGATTATTTTTTTGGTTGGGGATTGGATCGACGGGAGGGATTAGATTGGATAGGATTGGGCACACTACATACACTAAATGCTGGGCTGTGATGCTGTATGGTTGAGTGTAAATTCCGCGCAATTGACGACATGCCGGACGGGGTGTATGTCATCTTGACCACTACTGTTGTATACAGTACCTCACTACGCATCTGCATCGACCCTGTACCCCTAAACACCATCCACGCCACTCATCTACAGCCCCAAAAATCATAGAAACAGTGTAGTAAAAATAGTGGTCATTCTCATTAAAAGTAGCCAGCGCTAAATCATCAACTCAGACCGAGGAACACGCCGTCATCAACGTCATCAACGTCATCATCACGAAGCCACCATCCACAAAACTCCATGATCCCAACAGCACGCCCAGCGCACACAACAACCCACCCGCACCCCAATGTCATTCCGGCCTCTGCCCGTACACAATATGGACTTTGGTGTAGAGGTGGATGCTGGGGTCGCGCAGCTCGTTCTTGATCCCGGCCACGAACACCTCGATCTCGGGCTGCTGCCAGCCCATCACGCGCGTGAACAGCGCGTAGCAGTAGGGCCCCATGGCCTCCAGCATGTTGACCTGGTGGAACTTGCCCAGATCCTTCATCTTGGGGTCCTTGGCCCAGGGGCCTTGCGGTAGCTGTTCGACGTGGTCAGTAACTGCCCTCATCACAAAGAATGCGGAACATCACAAAGACGCCAAATTCTAGGGCTTTGGGGCCTGGTCTACCTTGTAAATCTCCTCCCGCACATTCACGAACCCCGCCTTCTCCATCTTCTCCTTCCACCCGTGCACGGTCTGCATGTCCTTGCCGTACTTGCGCGCCGAGTCGTGCATGAACTTGATCCCCTCCAGCAGCGTCGTCGCCCGCTGGTGCGTCCCGTCGTCCGAGTACGTGTTGACCTCCATCGACGCGATCTCGAAGTACCCCCGTGGCCGCAGGTTCTCGAACGCCTGCGCCATCAGCCGATCGACGTCGCGGATGCAGCCCTCCAGCTCGCGGCCGTGGATGTAGTCGAACGGTTTGCTGTACGACCAGGGTTGTTCGAAGTCGTCGACTTCGAAGCGGCAGTTTGGGGGGACCCTGTTCCAATGTTACCCTGGTGTTTTGATGGTGGCCGGGGATGTAGTGCTATATGGACACCGGGGGGACTAAAGCTGGGGGCGAATTACCATGCTGGTTGGATAGGACTGAGGTCGTTGCCTGTAGATCCAGAAACAAGCCCAAATGGTCAGTCATATCGTTCGTTTGCCTGACGGGAAAGCGAGCAGCCATCAAGGCCGAGGAGGGCAGCGGGATTTACCGATAACTTCTGATCCCGTATTCGCACTGTCAGGGATTGTGACGTATTAGCCGCCTCGTTTCCCAGATTGCCTTCATTCGCCGCATCATAATTCCGAGCTTTTTGTTTTTTTTTCCCCCGCAGAATTGTATGAGTCCGACTTACTCCGCAAAGTCCATTGCCCAGATCCCCGTGCCCGTGCCGAGATCCAAGACGCGAGCGGGGTTTTGGACGGGCGCCCGGTACAATTCCCCTTTCAGGAGCATGCTATAGATGTGATGACTCTGTATCCAGTGTCGTCTGATTAACATCCATTGTTCGTGATCCGCCGCTTGCTTCGGTCGTTTCCATTGAAGATGCGGGTGTGGTGGACTCACCAAATCGAGGCGATCTTGCTCTCGTTCGTCATTGGGCTGCGAGTATCATCAGTATGGGAGTTCCAAATTCCGATTCCGAATTGCGTCGGGAGCGTTTACGCTCCCGTAGCAGAAGGGGTGCATCATACTAGAACATATTCACCCTCATGATAGGAATGATATCTGCGACCGTTCTGGAGGAGAAGGCGAACCTTATTAGCGACGAGGAGGACGCGGACGAGGAAATCTAGAATACCTCATAGCTGGAGCATTGATTAGCTCGGCCTGAAGAGAAGAACTGGATAAACATTTTTTACTCAGAATACATACGCATAGTTCATAGCACTCGAAGCGAGACTGGATGTATAGCTGGCATCGTCCAGCCTGGGGAAAACATTAGCATGGTTCTTGTCAAGGGTTCGAATTGTAGTGGTAGTGGTAGTGGTAGTGATCCAGCGCGAACCAGCGGAACGGCGGACGTCAGTCTCGTGGGCTGGGAAACTTACGAGTCGGGATAAGTGGAGTCGTTGTCGTCGAAGTCCTGTTGAGCCAGCACCTGCGGATTAGCTCGGGGGGGGGGCAAGGTTAAAGTTTGGCAGAGTCACTGACATCCGGCTCAATGATACTGTCATCGTTTTCAGGTGGAGGGGCATTGTCGGCGCACATGTTGAGGGAAAGCAAAGAAAAAGTGCGGAATATGTGACGGTAGTAGTGGTGGTGGTGGTGGTGGTAGTGGTAGTGGGTGAGGTGAGAATTAGTGAACTAAATTGGAGACTGGTTGATTGATGGATCGATGATTGAGCAATTGAGCGATTGAGCGGTGGCCAGAAGTTAATTACCCTCCGGCTGAGTCCTTGGTACGTTATCGAAATGCCCCGCTAGTGCAAAGTGAAAACCAAGCGTCCAGGCCAAAGCAGCGATGTTGAAGAGAGAGGATGTATGTAGTAAAATTCCAGAATAAAAAGGGGGCCCCAATGGAACTATCCTAAATTAGTTAAGCATAAAATAGTAACAGATGGTATGTGGTTAGTGAAAAGGAGGGAGAACAGCAGGGGGGAAAAAAAAGAAATAAGAAAAAAGAAAATCAAGAATGAAAATCAATTTTCGGAGTAGTAGGAAACTCCGATATTTAAGCCAGTTTCTGTTGAGAAGCAAGAGCAATGAGAATAGTAATCGGATAGGAGAAGGTCATAAGACACAGACAGAGAAGAAGATTCAGGACGTAAGAAGAGTAAGAAGCCATGCAATAGTAATAACAATAATATAATAAGGGGGGATTTATGGAAATCTCAACAGTCGGATCGGTTCAGTTGGCCAGTGATGAGATGCGACAAGAGACTATGCCGAGGAGGAAAGGAAGTTAGGAGAAAAGCCAGACATGCATGCAGCCAAACCTTGAAAGACTGAAGAAAAGGAAGGCTAGGCAGGGCCTGTTCCCGTCCGTCTGTCTTGAGAGTTCTACTCAGGAAGAGAGAGCTTTCATGCGGGATGGCCGTTTGAACCCCAGTTAGTCGCCCACCGCAATCCCTCGTCGTTGGCTGGGCCGCGGAGGATGCTTCGTACAGCTACCTAGTAGATAGCTCGAGTACGGAGTACAGTGCAGTGTGCAGGGGTGAAGGTAGTGGTGGTGGCGGTCGCTTACGGGCTGCGAGTACGGTACAGTACAGTAGGTCTGTGCCGCACAGCTGCTCAAGGATAGATCGTTGTCTTTAGGTTAAGTTGGACGGAATCTGTCTGGACTCTGGAGGCTTGGACATGCAAAAGTGCAGGGGTGTCGACAGTTCAGTAGTTCAGTGACTAACTGAAATCGGTGCTCCGAAAAGTCTTCAATGGAGGTTGGAGGTCTAGGTTTCAAGTTCGAGCGAGAGTTGATGCCAGCAAAGGAGTGTGGTCGGTCTTGGCCTATCGGCGATAGGCGGATAGAGCTACGGAGTACTGTAATGTATATTACTGTCTGTCTGTGTGGAAGGTTGCTGACTACTCCCTCCTAGTTACGTACGTTACTCCAACATTACACTGGATAGTTGGAGTGTCATTGCAAACTTCAACCTTGTTCAATAATACTGCTCGAAGGCTGTCAAAAGTACAACTCAACCATCCTCTACATCACCATTCTTCAGCAAGAGCGACGATCGGAGATGAATACACCAATGCACGTCGTATGCGAACAAGCCCACGCAGCCAAGCCGAACACCGATGTTTCTTGAATGGGGCAAGTCCCCCGCTGCCCAGTGATGATGCAGTGGAAATTCAGAGGTGGACTCGAGAGTCGAGACATGCCGACAGAAAAAGCCAGTCGTTACATTCAATTGGTTCGACAGCTCTAGGCGGGGTTACGTACTTTGTTTCTTTCTCACACCCGCTTTCCACCTTTTGCTACCGCCGTCAGTCGCAGTGCAAAGACTCGGGATCAATAGGGCAGTGGAAAGCAGCCCAGGCTTGCAAAGTCTAAAGTCTCCGCCATGTGTTACTCTTCTTGTCAGCATGCCGTGGAATCCAAGAGCCCATCCATGAGTGTTGGCCCAGGAGTGTGCGAATCGGTGTGGATTGTGGAGAACCTGCACGGGACCCTCCTTCCATCTTTTTCACCTCTCGAGTCTCAAAACATGCTGGCTACGCTTAGCTCGTGTCTAGTCGAAAGCATTTCATTCGAACGGCCCGAATGCATTCATGCACAGTCTCGACTCTGCTTTTGTCAACCTATGACCTCGCATACCACATCATCCAGGATGACTTTGCATGGATCAATTGGGTTCTGTAATCCCGCATTGCGCTCTGACAGTAACCACGGCATCGTTTAGGATGTCCAAAAAGGAAAGTTTCTTGGTCATGGTGTGATGCCCTCTTTTCCTATGCCCCAGGCTCAAAAGTCAAAAGTCAAAAAGTCAAAAGTCAAAAAGCAGACGTCCGGACGGCCCCTGCCGGGCACCGGTAGTGGGTCCTCTTCCCCCTCGTCAAGTACCTGTTGTAACGGTTGTAGTCAGTCACCCTCCCCGCTAACCGTTCCTCGAGTTGTGCTCTCACGCCCGGCAATGGTTATCCGTGGGTTTCGACCAGAACTATGCAATGTAAACTGCTACTCCCCGCATTGATGTTCCTCAAATGCCCTGTACCCTACTACTACCCCGTTGGTATGCGCTTGCGACTGATGTGCAGTAGCCCCCTTCGACTGTAGCCCTGAGGTCACGAGGTCAAAGCGGAAACACCCAGCACTCGCAGGAGCCGGCATGATCGATCAAAGCCATCTGGCAGGGAGAGCTGATCAATAAGCCAGGCCGGACCTGCATGGGCAATGCTCTGAGTCGTAGAAGTTGGGCTTCTGAGTTCAGACGCTTTTACTGAATTTACTGTGCAGTACTTTTGGAACAAATGAGGCCATACGGAATCCCGTATATGTCTTCCATCCCATCACGGCAGCTGCATCTATGTCTCAGTTGAAATGATCCATTTCTCCCACATACAAGCAGTCTGATTTCTATCACGATCATCGCTGAAGCATTCAAAACATGTCTGAAAATCTTCCCATGGCAGCCACCTGTCCTGTCACCGGACCTCACCCCGTCCAGTCCAGCACAGCACACCCACAGTATAAACCGGCCATTCCCCAAGCTAGGAAGAGCCAGAAGAGCAGACCAAGACGCATCGTCGCCATCGCCCTGGGCAAAATCCCCATGCTGACTGCAGCCCGCCCGTCTGGCGGCAACACTCGCACCGGAAGTGCTAGGTTCAACCATGTAGGTACGCACGTACGCCGCAGTCAGTCACTTCGACCAAGTAGTCGGTGGACTCAGTCCAGTCTATACTCGGGTCCCCGCAGCTAGTACCAAACGGGCCATCGGTTAGACCTACCCCAACGGGCGGTTCAAATACCCTTCCCCCCGAAGCTCGAAGGGCCCAAGCGATCCATTCATGTTGGGCGTCGCATGGGGCAAGGATTTGGCTCTCGAGCATCACCGGTCGTCAATGGCTCTCGTTCCGTGAGTTGTCGCGGACGGGTCGGTGCCCTACTTGCGCTGCGGATGACTTTCGAGGGATTGGAGAGGTTTCTTTGTGGAAAGCTAGAGTACGGTGCGGAGTCCTTAGTACTGATACTGGAGATCTCTGACTGTGTCATTGTAGGGGCTTAGGAGACGTTAAGTAGAACTGAAAGGAGCAGCTGGGTTCATGTTTATAGCGCTACACAGAGTCAACTTGTCAAGGCTCAGGAAAGGGATGGGCCATGTGGTTGACAGATGTGGAGATTGGGCATAGAGCACTTTTGACAGTGTGAATTACATTGCGTGATGGCATGATACTCGCCTCTTTGGGATGATCGGACTATGGGGCAAATACTTGGTCGAGCAGTTTGTGCGCTGGGTGAAGCTTAGCTTGCGTTTAGTTGCACAGCATGACTTAATATCTTAATATATTAATAAAATATGCTAAATATTATAAAATCAAAATTAAAAAATATATATAAGAAAAAAGCATTAAATAATGAAAATATAACGATTCGTAATGACGAACAGGATATACTTAGCACCAGATGACGATGTCTATGCCCTACCTCTCATCCTTACTGGCCTTCCATGATATAAGATGCCTTCATACCTATAATCTGGGCTTAACAGACAGGTACATAAGCAAGGCCAATTTTACATTCAAACGAATGCTATACCCAAAAAATGACTACGAAGTACTCCGTTACTGCAACTTTGTAGCGAGGAGAACAATGCGGGTACAAACAGTGCAAACAACCACCCATCGGCTCGTCACAACTTTCTCCCGCGCCGACGCGCTGGCAGCTCTGCCGAGCAGTCGAATGGTCGAGTTATCCTTGTGATCTTTGTATGTGAATTAGCAGAACCATTGTTCTTTAGCGGTAATATACTTGTCTAGATTCTGAGATGAACACAATGAGAAGTAGGTGCTGATCAAACAAGTAGAAACGCTCCTTTGCACAGCCGCCGCCGCCGGTTTTGTTCTAATTGTTTATCCGCCGAGCTTTTGTTGTACCCCCGAAGTCGCGTCCAGACCAGCGCAGCACGTATCCTCGGCGCAGCGCATCGTCTCCCACCAAATCCTTTCTCCCTATATATAACGCGAAAATGCCGAAACGAAAGGCGGCAGCGGCAGCTTTATCCAGCCTGGCTGGCTCCGACGACGAGAGCATGATCCAGGCCGACGGCGCCCGCCCGACGAAGAAGGCCCGGGGGAGGCCGCGGTCCAAATCGACGGACCTGAGGCCCTCACCACAACCGAGACGGGAGTCCACCCACGCACAACCGGAGCCGGAGGGCTCGGGCAAGAAGAGCGGAAGGAGGGGCAGACCCAAGGGCAGTAGGAACTCGGTGCAAGCGGCACCGCAGGATGAACCGGAGGAGCAGGAAGCGCCCGCGGAGGCCGCGAGCGAAGTGGAAGCTCCTGCGGTGGCCGAGTCTGCAGCGGTCTCCAACGACGAGCTGGCTGAGTTGCAACTGACCGCGGCTAAACTCTCTAAGCGCAGCAAGGCTTCGAAGTCGGGGAAGACTGGAACAGGTGGTTCACGGGCGCGCAGCAAGACGGCCGATAAGCCCGTCGTAGCGGACGGCGGATTCGAATACACCCCCTCGAGCAAGCGACGTCAACCACCGCCGTCGGCGGAAGAACACGATGCACCTCCGCAGAAGACGCGAGCCAAGAACAAAACCGGGACGAAGGACAAGCGTGATCTGTCGGAGGTGGAGGATAATGGGCCAGAAGATGCAGCGGAGGAAGTCGATGAGACGGTGTTGCAAGACGCGCCACCGACTGGAACCCGCTCGCGCTCGGCCTCTCCGACCAAGCGTAGGCAGTCCCTGCGAGACGCGCGGGTTTCGCCGTCCAAGCCGCGGACTAGTGATGAGCCTGAGTTGCGACGGAAGATTGGGGAGCTGACAAAGAAATGCGATACCCTCGAGAACCGCTACCGGACGCTCAAGGAGATCGGCATAGTCGAAGCGAATGCGAACATGGAGAAGCTCCGGAAGCAATGCGAGTCCATGACCACCGGTGCGTATACCATCCTTTGCAGACGGAGGGCAGAACGGACTAACGTGATGCAGCCTCAAACAATCTGATTGCCGCCCTGAAAGCCGAGTTGGAGGCCCAGAAGGCACTTGGTCAACAAAGCCGCAAGCTTCAGAAGCAGCTGCAGGAACGGGACGCGGAAGTCGCTCAGCTGAAGACCCATGCCGAGGAGACTGAAACGCAACTCTCTTCTGCCCAGAATGAGGTCAAGGCGTTGCAGACGAAACTCTCTGCGGCCCGCAACACCGCCGCAAGTCTCGAGACCGCGGCTGCCAATTTGAAGGTTCCTGGTAGTGCGATCAAGGGCGGCGGCAACCGCGCCACTGCGGCAGCCAACGCCGAGGCTGCGCAGGCAGCCCAGTATGCGCAGCTGAAGGAGGATCTCTACAGTGATCTCACTGGTTTGATTATCCGTGACATCAAAAAGCGTCAATCGGATACTTTATACGACTGTATCCAGACCGGCAGCAACGGAAGTAAGTATATAAGCTCTAGGGTGTATTGTTATTGCGCTGACTCGGCTACAGCTCTCCACTTCAAACTGGTCGTCCCCCATGTATCGTCCACCAACTACGAGTCCGCCGAATTCCAGTATATTCCTCTGTTGGACGACAAACGCGACCGTGACCTGATTGACATTCTTCCCGAATACCTGACGGTGGATATCACTTTTGTGCGCCAACAAGCATCCAAGTTCTATACTCGCGTGATTGATGCTTTGACGAAGCGGAGGAGTACTGCCGCCAACTGATGGCCCTGGAGGCTAATGAGCATCCGCGGTATTTATATGGTGGAATTTATGTGGGGCTGGATTAGGCGTGGCCCTCGAGGGAGACCTAGAGGCTAGCCGAACGGTCGGAGGGCCGCAATGTCCGGCATTGGATTTGATCTTGCTTCTTGATTTTTTTTTTTTTTCTTGGATTTTCTATACCAATAGGCGTGTCAATTTATCTTTTCTTTTTGTGTAATATCAATGCGACCCCCAACCGATCTGTTCCTTGTTTGTATTGAATTGGATGTGGGATTGAGCTGTTCGAACTGTCCCGCACTCCGCAGAGTGTGTTCGGCATCGTCTGGGATGATTCGGCTGGGAGCCTTAGGCGAAGACGGGATCGCGGCAAGCGACGGGGCGGGAATGCGGGCCTCCGTGGGTGCCCCTCGGGGTGATTGTGGTGGTTGTGGTCACTGGGGCAGACAGGGTCCTTTTCTCTGCCTGGCTCGCTTTCGGCGTTCGCCAACTTCGACCTTCGACCTTCGACTTCGCCAAATTTCCCCTCCTATCAGAACTGTCGCCAGAATTATTGACTGGGTCAGGAACCGTCATAGCCCATCATCGCCTAGTCAGTTAATTAAACTGGAAACCAGCTGGCATTTCGCTTCTCTTCTTCTCTTTAACAGGCTATTTTACCTGAGGTTCCCCTGTCGTCCTCTGTCTTCGACTTTTCTTTTTCTTTCCCCCCTTCCCCCCCCCCCGCCCTTCAATAACTTTCCCACCGCATTTGTTGTGCACCGTACCCCGCCATGGCTGCCCCGCAAGAACTTGTCCCCCAGACCGAAACCATCGCGGAGGTCTACGCAACCGACGACGCCTCAACCACTTCGGTCGCTCCGGAGCACCAGACTCGTTTTAATGCGCTGGTTTCCAAATTCACCAAGCTATACTCTCATCGCCCCGATTTTGTCGCTCGCAGTCCCGGTCGCGTCAACATCATTGGTGAGCACATCGACTACAACCTGTACGATGTGCTTCCGACTGCCGTCAGTGTCGATGTGATCATCGCCGTGAAGGTGGTCCCTGCTACTGGCTCAGAGACTGTGGTCAAGATTTCCAATGTTAACCCGGAGAAATTCCCCACGCGCGAGTTTACCGTGCCCCGCGACACAGACGTCGAGATCGACCCCAAGAAGCATGACTGGGTCAATTACTTCAAGGCCGGTCTGTTGGGCGCCCTGAAATTCTTGCGCCAACGGAACGCCGACGGCTCATTCGCGCCGGCTAGCATGGAGGTTTTGCTCGATGGAAACGTGCCCCCTGGTGGTGGCATTTCCAGCAGTGCCGCCTTTGTGTGCGCCAGTGCTCTAGCTGTGATGAAGGCCAACGACCACGATGTATCCAAGCAGGACTTGCTCGATCTGGCCGTTGTTTCTGAGCGCGCGGTCGGTGTTTACTCAGGAGGGTAAGTGCTGTCTTTCTGCTCCTGCTCGCTTCCATTCTGACCTTTTACAGCATGGACCAGGCGGCCTCCATCTTCTCCCGTCGCGGATACTTGCTTTACACTCAGTTCTACCCCAACTTCTCCGTCCAGCACGTGCCCATCCCCAAGGCGACCGAAGAAATCACCTTCCTCATGGCGCAGAGCTTCGTCACCTCCAACAAGGCGGAGACCGCTCCCCGCCACTATAACCTGCGTGTTGCGGAATGCACTCTCGCTTCGGTGGTGCTGGCTGCCCGCCACGACCTGACCCTGCCCAAGGATAACAGCTCGCTCGGGTACAGTCTCCGCAACTTCCACAACGAGCTGATGCGCAAGGAAGGTCGCTTGGGTGACCCCTTGGAGTACCAGATTGACTCCGTGATTCAGAGCGTTCGGGAGATCTTGACCCAGGAGGCCGGATACACGCGGGAGGAGATTGCCGGTCTGCTGGGCATCACGGTGCCGGAGTTAGAGTCCAAGTATCTGTCCTCGTTCCCCGTCCAGGCCGAGCGCTTCCTCCTGCGGCAGCGCGCCCTGCACTGCTTCACTGAGGCTCGTCGGGTGCTGGACTTCAAGGCCTGTCTCGCCAAGGCCCACACTCTGGACGAGCGTCGCATTCAGTACTTGGGCCAGCTGTTGAACGAGTCCCAGGCTTCCTGCCGTGACCAGTATGAGTGCAGCGCCCCGGAGGTGGACGACATCTGCGCCATTGCGCGTCGTGCGGGAACCCTGGGCAGTCGGCTGACGGGTGCTGGCTGGGGCGGCTGCACGGTGCACATGCTGCCCCAGTCCAAGGTCGAGGCCGTCACCAAGGCCCTGAAGGAGGAGTACTACCTGAAGCATTTCCCGGACATCAGCGAGGAGAAGTTGGCGCAGGCGATGGTGATCAGCAAGCCATCGAACGGATCGTTCTTGTATGTTCCCTCTCTTTGACTGCCATGGTTATACATGCTAATTTGTTCTAGGGTAACGGGCGCGGCTATTGCGGAGGTTGAGGTTTAAGGGGTTCTGTTTTGCAGCGTGCAGCGTGGTACTATCTAGCGATGATGTAATATAGCTCAGTGCTGGTTATGAGTAACTATAGTTCAGTTGGAATGACTTAAGTCCACTTGACGTGCATCCGCCTGTGTTATAGCAATTTGATGTTTGAAGAGCAAGAATGGTCATTGCAAGTAAAGGATCGAGCATGTTTGTTATGATGTCATCCAGCTGTTGGACAAAAAACAACACTTCTGCAAGCAACAAAACAAACAGCTCAAACACCAGCCCCATTGAGCAAACAAACCACACAAACAAGCTACCCCAAGATTAGCGTATCCGCCAACCGATTATGCCTCCTCCCCTTTACTGTACTTCGTTCCTCTGCGTTCTTATCTCCATACCCCGAACCAAACAACAAAAATGTCATGAACCAACAACTATGCCCACCCCTTCATCATCACCGTCATTCTCCCTCTCCAAACTAGCCACCCCGGCCGTCGCCACCCTCATAAGCTTTCTGGCCTATAGCTCGCAGTACCTCCTCCACCACTTCGAGCCCGCCCCGCTGCGCCGCCCCGAATGCTGGCGGCTGAACCTGCTGGCCGGATGTATCTGGATCTGCTACTACCGGACCTGCACGGTAGACCCGGGTCGGGTGCCGAGGGAGTGGAAGCCGCAGGCTGTTGTTTTCTCGGAAGATCGTAAGCAGCAGCAGCAGCAGCAGCAGCCGCGCAAATCCCCGCCTAATGAAGCTGTCGGTAATGGCGGCGGCGGCCGATGGTGCCGCAAATGCGAAGCGTACAAGCCGCCGCGGGCGCATCATTGTCGGACGTGTCAGAGGTAGGGACCTTTCCCCGGCCAGGCTTTCCCTAAGAATGATCACGACAAGTTGATGGGGGATCGCAGTGGGTTGTGATGCATTCCTTAAGTTCCCATGTTTGATGGCCCCTCGCTAACCGGTGGATTCTATCCTGGGGCCACAGATGCATCCCCAAAATGGACCACCACTGCCCGTGGACGGCCAACTGCGTCTCGCACTTCACGCTGCCGCACTTCGTGCGGTTCCTGTTCTACGCGGTCGCGGGGATGGGGTATCTGGAGGCCGTGCTGGTGGAGCGCGCGGGGCTGGTGTGGCGTGAGAGAGCGAGGCCTAGTGTTCGTTGTCCTTCATCTTCCAGCTACTAGCAGAACACAATGCCCTAGGCAAGGATCGTAACTAACTCTGCAATCTTGCGGGTGGGACAGTATTTAGGCCCCACCGGCCTCCAGCTGGCGCACCTCTTCGTGCTGCTGGTCGTCAACAGCCTGACGGTATTCATGCTGTTCATCCTGCTGGTGCGCACGGTGTGGGCCCTCGCCCTGAACACCACTACCATCGAGGAGTGGGAGATCGAACGCCACCAGACGCTGCTGCGGCGCGCGCGGCATTTTGGCGGGTATCTGCAGGGGCCCGGGGGCGTGCGGGTGCGCATCAAGCGCCAGGAGTTTCCGTATGATGTCGGGGTGTGGGGGAATTTGAGGCAGGGGATGGGGTCGGGGAATGTATGTTCTTTTCTTTTCGGAGAGTGTAGATTTGGGGGTGGTTGGTGGTAATTTGATGCTAATTATATGGTGGATGGCGCAGATCCTAAGCTGGTTCTGGCCGCTAGCGAGAACCCTCGATCGGAGCTCGGGGCTGGAGTTCGAGGTTAATGGGTTTGAGGGTGCGTTCCCCATCCCGCTCTTTGTCTGTCCAGAGTCGGCCGGAAACACGCCACTCGATCATAGCAAATGGTGCTAACCGAACACAGATCCAAACACAACCTGGCCCCCGCCCGACCCAGACCGCATCCCCTGGACTGCCCCCGCGGCGACAGCTCCAGCAAACGGTATCCTGGCCGCCTCGTCAGGAAGAGGAACCCCGCAGAAGATCCTCCGTCGCAAGCGCTTCCACCAACGATTCACCAAGAAAGACTCGCCCAGCGACGACTCCGACGCCAGCAACAGCGGTAGCGAGCCCGAGGACGCCGTTTCGGACGACGGGGAGGAAGGCTGGCGCAATGCCGACGGGGATCGGCTCAGGGACTTTGGAGTCGAGGAGGAGGTCGAGTTCTACGATGAGGAGGATATTCCGCTGGCGGTTCTGATGGCGCAGAGGGGGTATCATTCGTGAATCGAAGTCGGGGTGGGGAAGGGGATGGCCATTCATCACTGAATGAGGGATCGTATGGACAGTACATACAGTAGGAATAGAGACCGGGTCTCCTGGGAGGTTGGGGTTCATGCTGGCTGGTGTCGAGTAGGTTACTGAAGTTGGATCTGGAGGTATCCAAGATAGAATTCGTGTCTCCGGGGTTCAACCGACGGGAGGCAAAACACACTGCCTGGGGGGCTCTACTGGTCTAACTCGGAGAATGTGTTCGGACGGTAGCTAGGTAGCGATAAGTCCAGGCTACAGCCCGGACCTTGACCGCCGAGCAGACTGCGTACAGTTGTTCATATACGAATCATCTTTACAGTGTCCGGAGTACAGGATCTCTTGAAGCATCGAGGTGATAGGAGAAGTCTAACGGAATCGCCCCAGACCGGCCACTGTCACAGAGATCATGCTTCCAGTCCAGGGCGTCAACCATTATCTGTGTTTTCAAGTTGCTGCTATATCACATACCACGTGCGCAGCTGGAAGGACCGGGTATCGCCTGTAGCGTATACTCTGGAGGGCTACTGTACATGGCTAGCTTGAGCGTTATACTTCCACTACACTTGAACTACCACAAATTCTTATATTACATCCAACATGAAAAAAGACTCGAGTTTATCTGCACCTTCTTTCTCCCAGCTAACGCAGAATGAACCCTTTTCATTCATCAAAACATACCAGCCCGTCTCAGCTCCGCTCCGCAATGCTACGCCTCAAACCAGCCACGCAAGGGATACCCTTCAAGCAAAACACCCCTTCACAACAAACCAGCACAATTGCACGATAGCACGATAGCACGATAGCACAAATAGCGCCAACAAGCCTCGTGTATGCACAAGCGCGTACCTACATCCAACACGCGCATCTCGACCCAAAACGCGCACGCATCCCCCCAGCGACATCCCTCGTTCCCTCCCTCCCTCCCTCCCTTCCTGACCCAAAACCCTAACCTCCCTCCCCTAGAATTCCTCAAATACCTTGAACCCAGCGCCACTATCCACCTCTAATCCTCCAACCATCTCTCCTCAACACAGTGCCTAAACACACGGCACCAAAATCACGCCATCCACCACCCAACTTCCAACAAACCCCATCCCAAGCCAACGATCAACCCCCCAAACCCTCAAAATGCACCTCCCGACCCTCCTCCTCACCACCCTAACCGCCGCCCTCGCCACCGCCGACCTGATCGAATACTGCCCCTTCGCGCAGGACAAGACGGGCATGCTGCAGCACCCCTACTGCTGCGACAGCTACACGCCCTCGAAGGTGACCGAACTAGCGGTGGAGGGGACGAACTGTATGGCCCCCCCTGTCTTTACCTATTGCAGCGATTAAGTGATGTGGATGCTGTGTGTGTTGGGGAGAGAGGATAGCTGACGTGATGTGATGTGATGCGACGGTGCACAGGTCAACAAGTTACTGAGCCGGTGGCTAAGTGTCCGAATGGGTTGGGGGTGAAGTGTTGTTATACGATTGTGAGTTTTTTTCGGGTATTGGGTGTTGAGATAAGGTGGAGAGGGGGTTGCAACCAAAACCGAGACGATGCTAATTCGGGGACTTGGGGGGCTTTAGAACCAGATTTTTATCTGTACGGCGGATGCGATCTTGGAGGATGATTAGATGGGTTTGTTTGGAGGGGGTATGCATGGGGATGGATGGAGTGGTGGAAAGGGTTGAGGGGTTGTGATGAATACAGTCAGTCGGATCTGGGTTTGGGCTTGGGGCTTGGGGGATCAAGATGATATGTTGTCGTGCGGTTGTCAAAAGTTAGGTTTGAGGAGGATGTCGTTGGGTTGGACGATTCGACAATGTACTTCAGGTTTATTATGATTTCGGGGTAGAACTGCCCTACTGCTCAGTGAAATGAATGACGTTCGTTCATATTGCTGGGCATCCAACAACCCTTACATAGGAAAATTCATCGAAGCAGTCGACCTTGTAGAGACTCTCGTTACAATGGAGTATATAGTTACCTGAAGTATGTTTTCGACGTGTTTGGTCTTCAATCCCTAAGTGAGGTTGTTGGCAAGAACGGTTGTGGTAGAGATGGCCAGGGAAGGTAACTGCATCTGGGTGCATGCAGTGTGCGGGACCTCAGGTTGGTCGGGAACATCATGCTGTAAGCATCCACTGACATAAAATCAACAAATCACCTCTTCTCTTGCCATGAGCTGCTATGGCTCGAATGATTGATCATGTAGGGCTAATGTACCTGACAGTAACGTAAGAGTGACTGTGTTGGATAATGATTGAGATGGGTGTACAGTACGTCATCGGGATGTCATCCCCGCCGACCCTCAATCAACAATACTTATACCGCGCACGAGTTAACACCTCCAAGACTCTACAAAACCATCCCTCAAGTATCCAAACCTATAATCAAGATCACCACTACAACCACCACCGAAAAATGCCCACCAAAAAAGTCCTCATCGTCCTCAGCGACGCCAACTCCTTCCCTCTCAAGAAGACCTCGGGGCCCGACGCCGGCAAAACCGTCGACCAGCCCTCGGGCTTCTTCCTGATGGAGCTCGCCAAACCACTCCAGAAGATCCTCGACGCCGGCCACGAGGTCACCTTCGCGTCGCCCAAGGGCGCGGAGCCCGTCCCGGACCCCAACAGCGAGTCCCTGCTGGCCTTCGCGGGCAACTTCTACGAGCGCCGCCGCGAGAACGAGCTGATCGAGCGCATGAAGCGCGAGAACGGGTTCAGCCGGCCGCGCCCCTTCGCCAGCATCGGCGACGAGGAGCTGGCCTCGTTCGCCGGCGTGTTCATCCCCGGCGGCCACGCGCCGCTGGCCGACCTCGGCGACAACCCGGACCTCGGCCGGATTCTGCGCTACTTCCACAAGGAGAACAAGCCGACGGCGGTGATCTGCCACGGGCCGTATGCGTTGCTGAGCACCAAGTTTGCCGGGGACGGGGACTTCGTGTACAAGGGGTATCATATCACGGCGTGGAGTGACGTGGAGGAGAAGGCGATGGAGACGTTGCTCGGCGGGGAGGTCGAGAAGGTCGAGTCCCGGTTGAAGGAGGAAGGCGCGGTTATGGAGACCGGGCTGTCGGAGAAGGCCGGGTATACCACCCTCCATCGCGAGTTGGTGTCCGGCGGTAATCCCATGGCGGCGAATGAGCTGGGGGAGCGGTTCTTGAAGATGCTGAGTGTTTGAGGTTGGCGTGTGTTGTGTGGTTGAAGCTGTACCTAGTAATAATAGTGTAATGAGGATATGATGATACATGACTCTTTCTGCGTGTGAAGAGCGTTAATATGAGGGCGAGTGTGGTAGGACAAATGTAAGAAGCGTGTTTCATGAGTCTAGTAAGGCTTGAATCTATCTTTGTTCTTGGTTCGTTTCTCCTTCTGTCGCGTTCCCTTGGCCGAGCCGTCCGCTTGCCTTGTCGAATCGCCGTCCTCCGGCTTCCAGACACGGACACACCCGTCCTCACCGCAGGTCAAAACAGATTGAGACTAGACACGGCGTTAGCTGACGCAATGGAGTTTCGTGGGGCGACCACTTACCTGCTCATCCACATAGACCGACCGAATAACCTCTTCACCGTGAGCACCTGGCAGACGCCACGAATTGTTCTGATCGAACTGCCACGATGGGGAGGACACAAGTGGGACCAGGTCCAACCGTTGCTCGCTATTCGAGTCAGTTCAAACCACTTGCACGAGTCGGGAGAGTGGGTATGCATACAGCTTGTTGCCCGCGGCGATGTACTGGCCTTGGCTGTTCTGGCACAGTTGCACAATGTACTCGCAGCTGAGCGGTTGTCGCAAGTCGTTAAACTGTATGGGCTCAGCGCCCTCCGAGGCCTGGTCATCCGGATCTGTCGTCGGATGGATGGCAAAGTCTTCATCATGACTCAGGGCATAGACGGTCTTCTCGTCCAGGAACCCGGCATGGTGCACGGAGCCGTGGTTGATGACCTGCACCAGCGCCTCATCCTCATCAGTGATGGTGGTATCGTAGATGTTCACCAGCCCGTCCGTACTGCCGGAGAGTGCGATATGGCTACGGGTGGGGTGATATTGGAGCTGTCGCGCGATTTAGCAGGTGAAAACGAAGGAGGAGTGTTAAGGTCCAGCGTAGGAGGCCACTAACCTCGGTCACATCGTCGTTGTGACTCTCGACATATTCCAGTCGAGGTTGATTCGCTGATCGGATGTCCCTGTTGATGTTAGTGTGCTGCGAACACAGCCCGATGATGCAATCTGCAGATGTCTTCCCAGATATACTCTCAGATGCTTGGCGCACTTACCAAAAAGCAACCACAGCCTGTTGCCCGTAATTAGACGAAACCAGCTCGGTTCCTGCAGCAATGTCATGGGTTTGCGGAGAGCATGCAATTGAGAGTACGGGAGCCTGGATTGCTATCGCGACGACGACAAGGGTAAGCGAACACTTGCAATACAAACAAGCAATATTTGATTCCCCGCATTACTCATTACACAGTGTGAGCCAGACAACTCGTGGCTTCTCAAGTCTAACACAAGAAAGTCTCCCCAACCCCATTTGACACCAAGCTGAAAAACAAGAATAACGACCACCAAGAGGAAAAACAACTTACAGGTTTGCATTTCTACGGCGGGCTTCTTCCCGCTGCGCAAGTCCCAGACCTTGACCTTGCCATCTCGTCCCGCCGTGGCCAGAAGCTGTTGGCCTGCATCGTAGGTTCTTAACGAGGTCACCACCTCGTGGGCACTCGGGGTGACTATGGATGCATGGCTGAGGCCATCCGCATTGAAAACCCGCAGCGAGTCGTCCGACGAGATCACGGCAAATGACCCGGGACCTGCTGCGGCAATGGAGTAGATGTAGTGGCCTTCAGCCAGAGAAAGTGACGATGACGCCGTCGCTTGGAGCGTGTGCATGGTTAGACAGACTATCTAAGCAGTGCTTCTATACTTCGTGGCGTAGATAATTTGCGCTGGATCTGAAATCTTCCGGTCCGTCATGGAAGGCGGTGGGAAATTGGAGGCGGAGAGAGTGGTCCGTGTTTGCACTGTTTGTATGGATGTGCTCCTTGCAGCTTCATCGAGATTGACTCCTTTCTTCAAAATGCCACTGAAGTAGAGCTTTTAAGCAATGGAGCTGGGATGGATCCGCTTCCAGTGTCTTGCGGAGGCTTTGAGTAATTTCTATCCAGATGAATTTGTTCTGTCGACACTATTGCTCCGTAGTAGCAGCCAGAATGGTCAGGTGACTGCAGCATGGTATCGTCTATTACGTGATCATACTGTGACTCCCTGGTTATTTGCGTGTTAGTGGATAGATTCTCGGTGACTTATTCAACAGTTCACGACCGACAGCTTCAATGCAGCTTAGCTGAGCTTGGGGAAGGGATAAATAATCTAACGCTGAGCTGTGTGATCCGCTGTAGATGTAGAAGCGGGGAAGCCCGGCTGCCTTGATCCCCAGGCCAAAAGACCAAACCTCACTGAACCTGACCGGTGAATGCTGCTTCACGATCATTCACATTGGCGCTAAGGTTGCTACATCCTACATGACTGCAGTGCTGGGGACTGGGTTATTCTTGTCACACCTTTGGCAGTTAATCTCTAAGCGCCCAGGCCCAATAGCGCCCGCATTTCTCCTCTTCTAGCCTCCGATCCGGGCGCTACCAACATCGTGCCTCCACGAATGACATCCCAGAACACCATCTTTAACCTGGCCAACGTGATGCCTCTTGCAGGCCCGTGTCTTGGTCCGAATGATAGACCAATCCCACACTCCCAGTCACGGTGTCTCTCCGCCTCTCGGGTGCAACGCATGGCCTCCGCCTGCCCAGTCTACCTGAACAGTGACCCTGGATGGTCGTCGCTGCGGGCGTTATCACATCGTGCTCGGCGATTTGACTCGTCAGACTGGACCTGCAGTCCCCGCCATCCTCACCATGCAAGCGCCATCGCAGGAACTGCCCATGCCCGCAGTCTGGCACTCAAAAACTCCCGCCAACCCTCCTGATTTACGGTGGCTTGGGTTTCAATGATAATCATTCCTGCTCCTGACCTGAACTGCTTCCTTCAGTCGCTGGGTCTGAAACCTTCGGAAAAGCTGCTGGCAAGCTTTGACTGGAGCGTATAGATCTCTTGGTCTGCACTTGGTTGCCGCTTTGCTCACTTCTCCTCCCTTTTGCCCTTGGCGCCGCCCCTCACGGCTCGCAGTTTCAACCTAGACAACATGAAGGCCTTTGAGATGTCGATATCGCAGTGCATCGCAGCGCTCACGCTGCTCTCACTCAGTCTGGTGAACGCCCACAGTATCATCACCTACCCAGGCTATCGCGGCAACAACCTGCACACCAACGGCACGGTTCAGCAGACCAACGGATTGGGTGTGGGCTGGGAGAACGGCTCATACGTCTATCCCTATGGGATGCAATGGATCTACCCCTGTATGCTTGACAGCCTGCTATTCTTTGCTCGAGCATCCTCATCGCTAACAATGACTGCTCAGGTGGTGGGATGCCCACGTCGACGAACCGCACCAAATGGCCCGTCAACGGGGGCGCGATCGCCCTGCAGCCCGGCTGGTTCCAGGGTCACTCGACGGCCTTCATGTATATCAACATGGGTCTGGGGACCGTCCCGGAGAACATGAGTCTTCCGATGGTCCCCGTCTTCGAGATCACGGGCCCCAGCAACAACCCGTACCCGGGCACGATCTGTCTGCCACAGGTGCCGTTGCCAGCCGACATCAGCCCCAAGGTGGGCGACAACGCCACCATCCAGATTGTCGAGGTGGCCAAACACGGTGCATCTCTATATGACGTGAGTATTCTCCGCCCTGAATTTGTCTTCGATCCACCCGCTGATCGTTCGGGTTTCTAGTGTGTGGACATCACCTTCGCCGACGACGACGATGTCGCCGAGGTGACCAAGGACAACTGCTTCAACTCGTCGGACATCGGATTCAAATACGTCTTCGCCTCGAGCTCATTAACGGCCACTAACGTCGCCCCACTGCATGGCCCTAGCCAGGCACCAATTGTCTCGGTTCTGCTGGCGATGGCCCTGGGAGCATGGATCTTATAATGAATTGAGACTTGTTAGCATTTGTTCGTGCGGTGTTCACTAATTTTGTCATACCCTCAGCCGCGGCCGGCTCACTTGTTGATTTTGGAATGTTGATTACATGAATGCATAATTTGCCTGCTATTTTGGCATGGACGGCAATCTTAATCTGAGCTCGTGTACATCCTTGTCATCTGTACCACTTAATCTCATTTATGATTGTCAGTTGACGACGTCATGTATCACGGGTGAGTTCCAATTCCCGGACTATCGGCGCACAGTACACCATGGGAACACGTAGCGAGAGCCATCAAGTCAACAAATAACGCGATCTCAGAAAGTCAGCTCAGGACCGACATGGCGGAAAGCATTTCCGCGATTGACCGGACCAACACCGGAATCGGTTCTAAAGCGTCACGCTTACTAGACTATGATCGAAGTAGCAAAGAACAAACACGCTGAATCTATGTGCATTAGTGATTGTCGAATGGTAACACTCCCAAAGTAAGCTTTCCTGGACACCCCACACCCTCCGAATTGCTCAGGCATGCTGTGCCGATAAGATGGATAACGACCCCGGTCTCCGATACCCCGAGAATCAACCGCCTTGCTTTTGCGACCAGCAGGGCACGTGCCTAGCTTGGCTTTCCTTTTTTTTTTTTTTTTTTTTTTTTTTTTTTTTTTGTCTCTCAGCTCGCTTAACCGGGCCGGTTCAGCCACTTGAACTCCGGTGGGGCGGTTGAACCAACCGGCCCGTCAACCGGCGGAGTTCAGTTCTTATCGAGCTGACTTTATCAGCTTATCGCCGGCCGATCCATAGATTGCTGTACAGACTGGGGATTGCCTCCCATGCAATTAACCATCAAGCACTTCGTGAGACGTCCATGTTGGATCATGGCACTACAGGGGAGGAAAAAGGGGGAAGGTTCATTGGACCTGATCCAACTTCATGGTTCTTGGAATCGCCACCGGTCCATGACATAAGTTCGACCAAGTTGAGCAATCTTCTCCCTAAATTGGAAATAAAATGGCCCGGGATGCGGGTTGACATCACGAGGCGATCACGAGGGGCAATTGTAGATATGGATGTACAGTACTGTCTGTACTGTACATCCACCGAGAAGTAGTCATGTGTCCAGCTGCCGCCCCTTAGAAAAGGGTACCGCCGGCATTGGGTTTGCAGCAGCTGCAGCTGCAGCAGCTGCCACTTCATAGATCTTTGGTCGATATAATAATGTAAGAAGAAGGAATGCGGCGACCGGCAAGGAGGACCGCCCGGTTTCCACCGGCTACTGGAGCGGATTCCCCTTCCCTCCCTTTATCAGTACGTACTATCTATACAAGACTGTAGGACGACAAAGAATTAAATTCTTCTCCTCATTACAACGACTTCTTCTCTTTCTCTCTCTCAACTATTTTACACACATCCTCATCCATCATCCTTTATCCTCTTACACTAGACCATACATTACCACACCACCCATACTACCCATACTATCGATAACAATCACCATGAAGGCCGCTCGCCGCCCGATGCGGGCGCTCGCCAGCGCCCCCGGCCGCCGTTATGTCAGCCGGACCAGCAACGCAAAGTCGTCCGTCGTCGCCTCGCCTGCCTCGTCCACCACCACCCTGCAACACCAGGTCTCCGCCTCGCTGCAGAGCACCGCCTCCTCCTCCTCCACGCCGCTGGCCAAGCTGCCCCTATCGACCGTCCTCCGATCGCTCGTCATCCTCTCCGTCTCCTCGTCGTCGCTGCTCCTGAAACCATGCATTTTCGCCCTATCGACGCTGGCGCACCCCAAGTCCGCCCTGCTGGACGTGGCCCGCAACCCGCTCCTCAACGCCGTCGTCAAGCACACCATCTACAAGCAGTTCAACGCCGGCGAGAACAAGGTCGAGGTCCAGCGCTCCATCCGCGACATCAAGTCGCTGGGCTACCGGGGCGTGCTGCTGGGCTACGCGCGCGAGGTCCTGGTCGGCGAGGGCCAGGTCGACCCGTTCGATGAGCAGCTCGCCCGCGAGGAGATCCAGACCTGGCTGGACGGCACCCTGAAGACGGTGGACATGGCGCAGGAGGGTGATTTCGTGGCTCTTAAGTAAGTTCCGGGTCTCCAATCCCAAAATCCAACCCGCGAAGCTAATCCCTCGAAAGATGGACCGGAATGGGCCACCAAGTCCTCCACTACCTGCAGAACAAATCCGACCCCTCGGAGCAAATGGACAAGGCGATCAAGCAAGTGTGCGACCTGGCCATCGCGCGCAACGCGCGCCTGCTCGTCGACGCCGAGGAGCAGGCCGTGCAGCACGGGATCGAGAACTGGGCGCTGCGGTACCAGAAGTACTGCAACGCGCGCACCCCGGGCAAGGCCATCTTCTTCAACACCTACCAGGCCTACCTGAAGTCGACGCCCGCCACCATCGCCCGCCACCTGGAGTTCGCGCGCGAGAACGGCTTCACCGCCGGCGTCAAGCTGGTGCGCGGCGCGTACCTGAAGACGGAGCCGCGGCAGCTGATCTGGGACGTCAAGGAGGACACGGATGCCTGCTACGACGGGGTCGTCGAGGCGCTGCTGACCCGCCGCTACAACGCGATGCTCCGCCCGGCTTCGGAGAAACACACCGAGCAGCTGCCCCCGCTGAACGTGATCATCGCCACCCACAACCGCGACTCCGTCCGCAAGGCCCACGCCATCCGCATGAAGCAGGCCGCCACCGGCGAGTCCCAGGGCGTCGATCTGAGCTACGCCCAGCTGCAGGGGATGGCCGATGAGGTCAGCTGCGAGCTCCTCCAGGGCTTCCCCGGCGGGGAGGGCGCCGCCGCCCCCGAGTCGCCCAACGTCTACAAGCTGCTGACCTGGGGCACCGTCAAGGAGTGCATGGGTTTCCTGATGCGCCGCGCGGTCGAGAACACCGAGGCCGTCGGCCGCACCAAGCAGTCCCAGGAGGCGATGATGGGCGAGCTGAGACGTCGGGCGCGTCGGGCTTTCGGTCTGCGCAACTGATGCTTTACGATATCTGTTTTTGTGGTTCCTGCGGATTATATCCTTTTTCTTCCTGCGTGCGTGTTGAGAATCTTGGCGTCCTTTAGTTGCTGTTTGGTTTCGGGATCGGTTCTGAGTCCCTGAGCGTCTCATTGCATTTTAGATGGCGTTAGCATTAACTTTTCAAAACTTCCTTAGCTTGTGTTGGTGGCTGGAATGAGATCAAGATTGATACTACTGTTGTCGTTCTAGGACTTTCGTAATCTTACGGTGTTTCTGTGGGGTGAGAACATTGTTGGGAACATAGCATCGGCCATGCCCTACTAGAATTACCAACCGATGAAGTGTTCTACAGTGCCGCCATTCAAGTTCTCGCCGGCAGCCACCCAATACTGTCAGCTGACACAAACACCTCCTCATACTTTGTATACTGCAGAGCGCAACCGCCAATCTTTCCACTATCAATCCAACGGGTCACCAGAATGGCACAGCCAGCTTCATCAGCCAACAAACCAGAGTCACGATATGACGCATCCGCGGGGAAATCTCCCCTCTCCCCCACAACTCCATCAAGTCAGTGGACCATCCGCTCAGCCCTTCTGCACGTCTCATACTGTACTCTTAACGCTAACCACATCCACTGAATCTCAGCTCGTCACCGCAACCGAAACCCTCCCACCAAGCGCGCAACAACTCGAACCCGCCCTCCAGAAAAGAGCCGAGCAGAGCCGAGCAGAGCATACTGGACCCGTCTCGCCGCCGTGGCCGGCTCCCTCCATCAGCACGGCCTTCCACCCCGACTCCGTCGACCCCGGCCGCAAACCACCTATGCGCTTCTACATGGGCGCCTCCCCGTCGCAGATCCTCTGCTTCCAGGCTTCGGCCTGTTGGAGACGGAATGGCTCTACCGACGGTGGTATCCCCACCGATACATCTAGCCCCGTGCTCCTGCATCTCGGGACCAAAGCTGCGGTACCGTATGCGTTCGAGGGCGGTGGCTTTCGCCAGTGGATGGGCGCAGGCGCGGCGGAGGGAAATGCATATCCCTGGACGTCGTCTGTAAGACCGAACGGATGCCTTGGGTCCTTTCCATCTACCGTGGTCTCCTGCATCGGTGTCCTGTAGTAACGTTAACTGCAGCTACTGGGAACTGGGTGGCGTGTATTTCTGCGTAGGATGGGGGACGAGCTCGATGGTGAGTACTGTACCCAACGTCACGTCCTTCAAGTAAAGGTCATGGCTGAAGTCAGTAGCCGTGGACAACGGTCGAATGCCGCACGAACCCGTCTAGATTGAGCTTCTACACCTAGACAGTAAGTTAATAACCGATACTAGAGTCGATTACCTAGGTCTCATATATATTGCATTGAGTATGTAGATCCAGCGCGGATATGCCACACCATTCTAGTCCCTGAGACAAGCATTGATTCTCACCAAAAGGCTACGATGCACGACTCAAAGCTTGACCTTCAGCGACGACCGCAGACTAAACCCATCCCCGTGCGTCTTGTTGCCTGACTCCCCCAGCACCGTGACCTTCTCCACCCGCACCTCGGACCCGGCGTTCTCCACCGCGACGCGCAGCTCGCGGCCCGTCCGACTGTAGTGGAAGGTCACCTCCGTGACGGCGGCCTGCTCGACCGAGTCCCCGTCATCGAGATACAGACTGCCCGACGCGGTGCCATCCAGCCCGGGGGCGATCAGCAACTCGAACCCCTTCTTCCGCACCTCGGTCGTCGTCATGGCGCTGGCCGCGCGCACGGGCACGATATTCCCGCCGCGGACGTGGATGGGGATGTGCGTGTAGTCGACGTCCGTGAGGGTGATGTTCGCGCCGCGGCCGCGCACCGCGCGCCCCGTGTACCAGTCGTAGAAGACGTCGTCGGGGAAGTAGGCGTCGACGGCCGTGGCGTTCTCCTGCGTGACGGGGCTGACGAGGAGGGCATCCCCGAAGAAGAACTGCCGGTCGTTGGCGAAGGTGTCCTCGTCCGCCGGGTACAGGTAGAACAGCGGCTGCAGGAAGGGCTCGCCCGTCTGCGCCTGCCGGTGCAGCCCCGTGTAGATGTAGTCCAGCAGCCGGTAGCGGATGTCGATCGCTTTGCGCGCCGACTCCGCCACCGTCGGCCACACGTAGAACTCCTGCGACACGTCGCCCAGCTCGTTGTGGTTGCGGTAGAACGTGTAGAACGCCCCCAGCGCCGCCCACCGCGCGCACAGCTGCTCCGTCGTGTTGCCGCCGAACCCGCACACGTCCGCGCCCACCATCGGGATCTGGAACATCGACGCGAACGCCAGGATCTGCGCGATCGAGATCCGGTAGTGCTCCCAGTCGCTGATGTTGTCGCCGAGCCTGGCGGTGGGTTAGGATGTGAGGTTTTGTAAGGGTGGGGGTGGGCGGAGGCTTACCAGTGTCCCACGTGCGAGCCCGCTCCTGCGTAGGTGCTCCGGGTGATGATGAAGGGTCGGACTTCGGGGCGACGGGAGGCCATGGCGTCGCGCGACGCCGTGCTCATCACTGAGCTATGTTAGCAGCGTGAACAGGAGTGTGAGAGGCTGTGGTTGTACTCAACTCGTTCCGTACAGGTTGTGCGTGTCGTACTCGACGTAGCCCTCCCCGGCGTGGCCGATGTCGGTTTGGATTGTGTTCATGCTGATGACTCCGGCCGCATTCTGGATCTTGTAGAGCGGGTCGGTGAGGTTGCGGTCGGCTAGTCCGATCTTCGCCCCCTTGGTGCCTTGACCGTTGACCGAAGAGCGCTTGGACGCAGAGGGCTGGAAGTCCTGGGGGAACCCAGGCAGCGGGCGAGGGCTACTGGCTCGAACAGCAGGCGCAGCCGGGGGCAGGTCGTCGGAGATGGCGAACGCGGCCGGATCTGCGCACGGGTAGGGGCAGAAATTGGACGCTTCGTTCATGTCGATCCACAGACCGTCGATGTCGACTCCCGAGGTAGCATTGAAGAACTCTGCGAACTGCGCGTTCCAGAAATCTTGGGTGTCGGGGTTGAACCAATCCGGGTAGACGGTCACGCCGGGCCAGACGGCACCTAGTCGTGGGTAAGCTTTGTATACTTAGTGAATGGCAGAGGATAGTAGTACCTTCATATAGACTTCCATTCTGGTGGTGGAGGAAGACGCCTTCGCTCAGACCAGTGGTATATGCCGAGTTGTCTTAGACGGACTGTCAGCGCTTGAACTTCATAACACTGCTGCTGGAGTTACTCACTGCTGACGCTCACTGCGGGATCAACCATAACAATGTACTTCTGGTCGTGGCGGTGTAGATAAGTGACCAGCTCGCGCATTTTGTTCAAGGGGAATCTTTCCGGGTCGAGGGTGAATACCCTCCGCCTGTCCATGTAGTCGATGTCGGTCCACATGGTTTCCAAGGGGATTCCGGCTTTGCTGTAGTTGTACACCACCTCGGCTACATTGTAGACATCCTGGTATCCGTATCTGCATTGATGGAACTAAAGAGATTTAGCCATGGGGAATTACCATCCCTTGGGGTGGGTGAACGTACTCCCAAAGTCCAGTAACTCTGCATCGCTGGAAGGCCGACGACCTTAGAGTACTCAATACTCGCCTCCTTGGGATTAGGCGCAGTGAAGAAGTAGAAGTCAAAGACGCCGCCCAAAGTGTTGTATTCGAGGTACTGCTGGCCGTCGTCGGTCTTGTTGATCTTAATGTCCATGCCGTTGGAGTTCAGCAGCAGAACGCCGTGGGTACCAGACTCGCCACGGTGGTCATAGTAGACCGGATGGCTGCCGTAGAGGTTGGTCCCGTTGGGCGTGCTGTAGGCGTCGCGGTTCCAGAGCGTGCGGGTGTAGTTGTCTGTCGGCAAGCGCATAGGATCTGAGTGCTCTCCCAGACCGTAAAGGTAGGGCTCGTCGGGGAGCCAGGTGCGCAGGTTTAGATACTGGTTTTGGAACACAAGGTTCGATGCTGAGGAATCGAAGAGTACCTCGTCGTCTCTTGAGACAACAAACGAGAATGGCTCTTCCACGAGGTCGAAATCAAGCGCTGATGTGTCGCTGGATCCGCTATCCCCGTCCACGCGGGGAAGCACAGATTCAGGAACCTGGTATACCTGTTCATCGGCATCGTAGATGATTACATGGAGACGTTCATCTAACGCGAACTGTGAGCGACTTCCTCAACACCAACCTCGAGTTGAACATGTTCATACCGGTCTGATATTCCACAAGAAGCTTGAGATCACGCAGATCCGTGCCATAGCTGTTGCAGGGCGAGCCAGCTAAAGTCAGGTCCGCCGTTAAAGAATTCGCACCCTTCTTGACATTGGAGGCCTTGTAGCCAGGACAGTCATGGTGAGATGCCTCCGATCTGATAGCTGCGGCGCCCACTAAGGGGACGAGAGCAAACAAGGACCCTAGCATCCTCAGTCAAGAGCGCGCCTTAGGGAACAGCGTTGATTGAGAAAGTGTGGTGAGATCGACGCCCGATCGCCACGGTATATATAGGCATGCATTCGGTCAGAGTTTGCTGACAACGGATGCAGGGCATGTTGATCCAAGGCCATCAGAATGCAGGCTGCAGTACAACATTGACCCCACCAGCCCTCACAATGCTTGAAATTGTTCTGATGCCAAGACCAGCCCCGTCAAGTATTTTGCCGACGAGAACTGCGACTCAAAAGTCCAGAAGTCGCTGCCCAGAGGCAGGTTAGACTCGAGTAGGAAGGCCGAGGTTGGGGTAGAGCGGAGGCTGAACCCTTAACGAGGTAATTGGCACCCTTTTCCAAGACTATTTCGGTCAATTATCGGGGATCATCGCCACTAGTGATTTGGGGAGGCGGGGGGCATGGGGGGGGGGGGGGGGGGGGCAACTCGGCTGGGCTTTGGCGGTGGCTTGCATCCGTCAGAGCCGGCCACCTCACAGCGTGGTATGGATGGTTGCATAGGTATGTATCATTTGTGACGTCGCTCGTTCTTTTTCTGGTGGCACTAGAACGACAGGTGCGGTGCAGGCAATAATTGGGAGGTCGGGACCCTTAAGCTGAGGTGAGGGGAAAGTTTGGCTGCTGCAGCTGCAGCCGACGTGGAGCCAGCACGGGCCGTAAGACGAACACTATTGCATCACAACAGATAGGAGGACTAGTGAGTAGATTATCGGGGGAAATTAACTGTGTTGCTGCGAAAGAAAGACGCGAGTGTAAAGATATTGATCGTCTCCATGGATTGAGATTGAAACTAGGCGACCCAGAGGTATGGATAGTTGAGAAAGCAGAGCCAAAGACCCGGGATCGGATCGGACTTGAGATGCAAGTAAACCGAGCCTTACCCAAAGAGGAAAATACTTCAACCCCAACAGCCAGCTCACCCCCAAAAGAACAGTCCAACATCGTTCATGCACCATTGTGTCTCCCATACTGGACTCCCAATGGTCAGTCAGCCTGCACAAGAGAAGTTCTAGAGCATCCAGACTTGTTTCCAAACGTGCACTCGTCAAACCTACCACGACCACCTGGTGAGAAGTGAGAAGTACTCACCGGTACTCGCCCACTGCCGCATATGACACCAACGCGCCGCACCGACTTCCAACTCGTCCAATTGCTACATCAGACAAATTCCTTGAACATACCGAATTCTACCTGCCAAACGGGCTAACTGCCTGACCTAGATAATGGATACTCTCTTATCGCGCCTACAAGAAGTATAGCAATCGGGTAGCGTTTATCTCTGAGCACCCCCAGGATGACCTGGGTCCCCCGGAACCGAACCATGGCTCCAGGGTGCCAAGGTCTACGGAAATTTAGCGGGATTATCTGTGGAGGACGTGGACAGACACCGGCCGACGGACGTTGAGAGGTGGGCACATTAGTGCTGGGTGGCCGGGCGGAGCGGGTGAAGTGCGGGGACTGGAATAGGGTGGTCGGGGATTGAGAAGTACCGTAACGCGGGGGAAGGGGTAGGGGATTGTTTGTACTTTGCGTGCAAGGTCTCCTTCTGTAGAAAGAGAATCCTGTGTGTAGAAGAGGCTTGACAGGAGAGTAAACATCGCCGTAGTAGCTCAGGTGGAACATGTCGAAGAGGTGATAGCAACAATCGCAGGCAGACTTGCTACCAATCCAGACATGAATACACGCCTTGGTCATTATAGAGATGTTTTCACAGCAATCTGCCTGCATCACTGGATCGAACCAGGAATTGTTTGGGTGTTGAGTTGTTTGTTTCAACTGTTAACAGGCAGCTGTCCGGTGTGTCCTTATCGCAAAGGCGGGAACCCGAGCCGGTCGGCCCTCGGCACTGATTAATTCCGGCGGAGCTGACTTTATCCACCGTATCCGGTCGGATAACCCGGGCGCGCAGTGGTTCAGATCGCGATGCGATATGTTGTCTTGATCAGAAACTCAGGAATGTGTATGTGCACTGGCCGCTTATCAGCAGAGACGCTCTCAGAGTCACTACTAAAGGATAGGCAGAGTTACTATGGAAAAGAACAGTTGTGCCTCATACCTCATATCAATCTCAACAACCGGAGCACTGGCATCTCTCCGGTGCGCGGCAGCTGTTGTACAACGATTGTGGGGAGCTGAATTAGTCATCGTGGGGATGTGGCCTCGGAGCTACGTACGCTTCGGCATGCATCCAGTTAGCGGATATGCCGGCGATGCTTTGCCATTATGAAGCATCGAGCTGTGCGACGGGGATGTTCATGTGCAGAGAGCGGAAGAGTGTTGATCGACTAAGCTTCGTGTCTGCTGCGCGTGATCGATCTACTTGACTTGCTCTGCTTATCGGGCCTGATAGAGGCAATTGACCAAATAAAGCAAACCAAACTTGGAAAGAGGAGCTACGAATTGATACATCAAGGTACACGCGTGACAAAATCTATTATCTATACTATCGTAAACTCGCTATCAAATTTCAAGCCTGGTTCTCGATCTTGGTGATCAAAGTGCCGACGTGAGGCTGCAGCTCGACCGTGAACTCATCGCCGTGCTTCAAGAACTCCTTGGGGTTCTTGGCAGCGCCAACACCGGGGGGAGTACCGGTCAGAATGATGGTTCCAGCGGGGATGGTGGTGCCCTGCGACAGGAAGCTGACGAGCTGGGGAACGCTGAAGATCAGGTCACTATACAGAATTGTTAGCTTTTATGTTGCGCGTAAGAAAAAGAACCAAACATACGTGAGAGGGCAGTCCTGCAGGACCTTGCCGTTCTTGGATCCCTTGATGTGGAGCTTGCTGGCATCGGGGACTTGGGCGGCGGAGACTAGGACGGGGCCTATATTCGATACAATTAGAGATATGCCGAATGGGCGAGGGACAGGCATACATACCAATAGGGCACGAGGTATCAAATCCCTTGGAGAAGCACCACTGGCTCTGGTTCATCTGGGAGGTCCGGCTGGATACATCGTTGGCCGCCGTGTATCCGAGCACGTAGTCCAGCGCCTCCTCCTCGCTCACATCCTTTGCGTCGCGGCCGATGACAATGACCATCTCCGACTCGTAGTCACCGGTGTTGTCCTTCTGTGTGATCTTGGGCAGGACGGTGGGGGCGGGCCACGGGTCCGAGAGCGCCGTCGGGGGCTTCATGAACAGCGTGGGGACGGTGGGAATGTCCAGCTTCATCTCCGCGGCGTGAGAGACGTAGTTCAGGCCAATGCACCGGATGGTGCCGACCTCGCTCTGTGCCAATGGGGAAAGAATGCGCTCGATGGTCTCGGTCGCGTCGGTCTTCTGGCCGGGGTTCAGGACCGAAGTGCCGGAGAAAGGTCGCACGGCGACTTCCTGGCCCTTGTAGACAGCCAAACCCACATCAATGGAGGCATCGACGGGCTCGCCGATCAGGATCTTGGAGGGGTTCGACTTGGGGACGAAGCGCACAAGGCCTGGTGGGGGTCAGCAGCTGCAGCATTTTCTGATCAGGATCGTCCACGTACGCGAGAAAGTGGATGCGATTTTAGACATGGTGGATGAAGGATGAGTGTGAGGTATGATGCGAACGTGAGAGATGTGCAGAACAGTGGATTCGACGCTTATAAGAGGAAGGCGGCATATAACTACCCCGACATCGCAGCTGCCACCCCTCTTTCTGGTGCGGGGAGGGGTAAAAATAAGAGGTGGGGCAAATGGCGAATCGAGGTCGGGTGGGAAGTTCGGAGGTGGTTGAACCGTTGGTCTCCTTCTCGGACGAAACCCGGCGACGACTGCTACACTTAAACAGCCCACTTCAACACTTCCCCACGCTGCGGTTGTGGGGATGTCGCCAGCGGGGATCTCGGTCGGAGAAAGCGGCGAAGTCGCAATGCGCTTGACGCTGGTTTAAAAGGCTACCATGTACGCCGTCGCAGCTTCTGCAAGATTTTAAACTAAGCACATTCAAAAAATCAGTCATCATGTCTCCCAAGGGCCCCTTCCGTCTCGTCACCGTCAACACTGCTCCCGAGAGAGCCAAGCGCTTGATCGGCCGCCTTATCGAGGCCCTCAAGGACCGCTACACTATCATCCACGTTGACAACTGCGAGAGTGAGTGAACTCACCGTCGGAGTGCCTTTGTCCTGTACTTGACTGACCACAACCTGGAACAGAGATCGAGGAGGTCGAACCCAAGGTCAGGGAGCACATGCCTGACGTTCTGGTAAGTTGGGATCCTCTGCCACGAGCACCAATTCGCTGGGAGGCTTTCTACCTCTGGTATATGTTCTGACTCGACCCTACAGTTCAGCGCTTCCATGTGGACCAAGGAGCAGGCTCAGGAAATCCACTCCATTGCTCGTTCGATCAACCCCACCATCAAGCTCCACGCCATCCCCGAAGGCCTCCAGGTCGAGCGCGGCCCCGATGCCATCGTCGAATACCTTGTCGAGAAGGTCCCTCCGTTGTTGGATGCTTAAATGGACATTGCTCTGAAAGGGTGAGAGTGCCAGGGGCAACTCACGGAATATGTGGTGGAATTGATGATACTCTACGTCCTGTATATAGTTTACTTCACAACCATGTTTGCGGAATCGCGACAATGCATCTACGGACCATGATTGGTATATTATAAAGCTCTTGACTGCGAATGCTGGTTGTGCTATCAAGCGCATGAAAAGTGGCACTAAAGCGGTTCTTAGTAATTGGGAGATGTGCCCATTGGCACTTGCAAATCGCTTTCTCATACTTTGCGTGTTGTACATCAAAAGCGCGGTATATATTGTGGTCATTATGCCTCGAGAAAACACCGAGACAAGATGGGGGTCATAACATTTATGGACGGTCTCATTCTTTATTACATAATCCACAAGCTACTCTGGTCTTCTTAAGAGTCATCAATATCCGGATTTGCCAGCTCTCCCACTCTCCAAAATTGTAGACCGAATATGGTGACGATGCCCGCCGCGGGATCCCAAAACGGTCATACATAGCGCAGACCGCCTGCCTTGTACAGCCGGCAGAAATTGAATGTTTCCCCGCTCCTGCAGAAATGCTTTTTCGAACGAAACCCATCATAAACCAGGCACAAAAGAACTATTTACTTATTTCCGAGTCGTCGTGCACTTGATCTCCACCTGGGAAACTATACATCAACATGCCAAGAGATCCATTGATCGGCTTGGTGGGAAAGGTCTTTTTTGTCTTCTCCATCCACCCACCGTCTGATCCACTGCTGATTCCAATGAGGGGAACCTGTAGCCGTCCAGCGGAAAGTCAACCACCCTCAACAGTCTGACTGATGCGTCCTCCAAAGTTGGTATGTTCGGATAATGTCACCGCTAGTCTTCGGCGATCATTATATACTAACTCGCATGACTACTCCATAGGAAACTTCCCGTGCGTTTGACACCTACCCACCCACCGATTGACCAACCGTCCACCGAACAGCGCTGATGCCTCCCGCAGATTCACCACCATCGATCCCCAGCGCGCTATCGGATATCTTCAAATCGAATGCGCCTGTCAAAGACTGAACGTTTCCGATAAATGCCGACCGAACTACGGAGGCTGCGTGGAGGGCCGCCGCTCGGTGCCGATCGAGCTCTTGGATGTAGCTGGTCTGGTTCCGGGCGCGCACCAGGGCCGCGGCTTGGGGAATAAGTTCTTGGACGACCTGCGCCATGCCGATGCGCTGATTCACGTGGTGGATGTGAGCGGGACGACGGATGCAGAAGGTACAATCACATTCCCGGGGTTCAATCTGGCCTCGCGGGGTTACTTGGTGGTTGGGACCGGGCTGACCGGATATCTGCAGGCAAGGCCACACGAGGCTACGACCCCTCGCAAGATATCGAGTGGCTTCACTCTGAGATTGTGCGTTGGGTGCTTGGCAACTTGATGCAGAAATGGTACGGTCGCGTTCGGAATCATAGATCAGATGGAGAGGCTGATTTTGTAATCCCAGGGGCTCGATCAAGAGGAGACATGTTGCTACAAGTGAGTTGTTGGCGTGGTGGATGAGTTTGTGGCAGGCTTTCTAACGCTCCAGCTAGAATCCACGGCCGTGGATACATTGCAGTCTCAGTTCTCCGGTTACGGAAGTACATCCTCCATCGTTGGGCGGTGTTTGGATAAGTTGGCGCTCAAGGAACCGTTGGAGGCTTGGTCGGATGAGACAGTGGAGAAGGTGGTCACGACGTTCATCGACGAGAAGTTCCCTACCGTGTTTGCCTTGAATAAGATCGACCATCCCGATGCGGACAAGGTATGTGCTTCCCTGCTCCGGATGGATGTGTTCTTGAGCTAATAGGGATATTAGAATATCAGCAAAATTGCCAAGATGCAAGATCCGAAGTCGATCGTGCTGTGCTCCGCCATCTCGGAGGTTTTCCTGCGCCGACTTGCCAAGCAGGGCTATATCAAATACATCGAAGGAAGCGAGTTTGTAGATATGCGAGAGGACCTGATTGATATGGGTGATCCGGATGGAGGTGGCCTCAAGGAAATGGACGAGAAGCTGAAAACGTACGACGCACCAGACTGGACTTGTCAGCAGGCAAGCTAACTTTGAAACCTCCAGGCGTGTCGAGAACTTGAAAGATATGGTTCTGTACCGATTCGGATCCACCGGTGTGGTCCAGTGTCTTTCACGTGCTGCGGAACTCTTGGGGCTTGTACCCGTTTTTCCTGTCCGCAATATCCACACCTTCTCATCCGGAGCCGGGACGGCAGTCTTCCGAGACTGTGTCCTCGTGGGAAAGTGAGTAGTCAATTGATCAAGCAAACAGGGAACGTGCTGACAATGAGTAGGAACAGCACAGTGGGCGACGTTGCCCGCAAGGTCATGGGAGATGTACCCATCTCATATATTGAAGGAATCGGCGGAACTCGTGTCTCCGAGGACGAGATTGTGGAAGTTGGGAAACACGACGTACGTCAATTCTGTGGTTTACCGATCATGCGAAGACTAATCTTGCCTTCAGATTCTTTCTTTCAAGCCTGGCCGATAGATCCCCGCCATCCAATCTATGTACAGTGAACATGATAATGAAACTATAAACCGATGTGATGCTACATTCATGAAGAGAACACGAGTGTTTAGAACAGCAGAAAACGATTGTTGCACAAACTGACATAACCCAGACATTATCGACGAGATTTAGTGACCGCGCTGAGAAGTAGGTAAGTCAGCTGGAAATGTTTCCCAAGAGCTGGTGGCGTGGCATCCACCAAGAAGGCAAGAGTGTCTAGTATACCTGTCCTCTCTCATCATTCATCCCGATCACCGGCTCTGGCGCCTTCGGGTGCTCCTTCTTGGCCTTGCGCTCGTGCTTCAGCCCCCCGCGCTCCGTGGCGCCCGCCGGCTTGGAACTGTCCGGCACCCCGTAGCTTGACTCTCGGTCCTCCTGCCCGGCCGATGAGGCGTCGGTCGAGACGTCGGTGTTGTCGCGCTTCTTGGTCCGGTTGACGGCGTGGTCGTCGGCGTTGGTGCCCACCCACGAGCTATTCCGATAGGCTTGCGCGGCGATGGCCGGGTTGGTGATCTGTTGCTGCTGTCTGGCGAGCAGACCGGGGAGTCTCGAAGCGAAGCGGGTCGTGGTGAACATGGACATTCTTGCGGTTGCGTAGGTTTGTATGATGTGTAGATTTCCGGCTCGAAGTAATGACCTCCACTCGACGGTAGAGAGAAGGCAGGAAGATAATTAATTGGAGTTGAATTGATCGGGATTATTTGAAGATTGGAAATGTATGGTATGTAAAATGACATCAACGACAATGCTCCCCCTTCGCTGGTTATATACTCCACGGTCAATCCAGTGACTTTTACCCCGGGAATGGCCATGACCGCCTCCTTGGCGCTGCATGACGTCTCCATGCCGTAATGAGCCTGACTCTAGGGCTTAGGGTTCTGGGGGAGTGCTTATCGATAACGGCCGGGAACGGGGACTGCTAACGTCAAATCAAAACATCCTCCTTCCCCCACCCTCATATACCCTGCATGCTGGGTCATGCTATGCTGTTATGCAGATAGCTTCCAGCAAAGAGTTAATTGAGTATCAAGATGAAGCGCGCGCACTTACCGATTGAGACGCTGCCGGCGTGGGTGAGGCTCAATGGAATCGGGGTGGAGAGCGTTGTCTTCGGTCCTCTCGGCGCTGATGATCATACTGGTGATAATACCTCGGACAGCAGCAACAGCAACAAGGGCACAGGGATCATCGCGACAGAGGACCGAGCCGGTGGCGAGACCGCCCTTGGCGCCGTGGATACGGGGGTCCTGTTGAAGGTTCCTCCGGATCTGATCCTGTCGTTGGAGACGGTGCATGGGTATGCCAAGTCGGATGGGCGGCTGAGGGCGGTGTTGGATGCTGTCGGGGAGTTTGGACGGGTATGTTTTGCTTCTTCTTCATTCTAATCGAATCCGGAGATGGGGAATGGGCTCAACGGTGCACGATGCGTGCTAACAAAAGCAGACCCCGCGCGGCGCGATTTTGATCTTCCTGCTCATGCAGATCACGCACTCCAGTCCGGATTGCACGATCCAAAGCCCGGCGGTGGGTGTCGCGGGCCCCTGGACGGAGTATATGAAATACATGCCACAGGAGATCCCGCTGCCCACTTTTTACTCGGAAGCGGAGATGGAGCTGCTGCGCGGGACGTCGTTGCGGTTGGCGGTGCATGCGAAGCTGGCGGCGTTGGAGAAGGAGTTTGCGCGGCTGCGGGAGGCGACGCGGGGGATTGACTGGTGTCGGGAGGTTTGGTGGGGAGGTGATGCTGCTGATGATGTTGAGGGTGATGTTGATGCTGGAGAAGAGGGACGGCTGACGCTCGAGGACTGGAAATACGTCGACGCGCTGTATCGGTCGCGGATGGTCGATCTGCCGACCAGCGGGCATGCCATGGTCCCCTGCATTGACATGGCGAATCATAGCTCCGACGACACGGTCAAGGCGCTGTATGATGAGGATGCGGAGGGGAATGTGGTGCTGCAGTTGCGGTATGGGAAGAGGGTGCATGCGGGGGAGGAGGTGACTATCTCGTGAGTTCGATTCCCGTTTAGGATTATGGGCTTGGGGGGCTTGGGTGAAGGCTGGGGGCTTACTCTGGGCATGGAAAGGTACGGCGATGAGAAGCCCGCTTCGGAAATGATCTTCTCTTACGGCTTTCTGGATCGAGAGACCACCGATGCGAAACAGATTTTCCTGGACCTGGATATTCCGGACGATGACCCGCTGAAGGTCGTCAAGAAGGCGTTCTGTAAGGAGCCCCCGGGTGTCCGGGTGTATACGTCGGCTGCAGATTCCGAGTCAGCGCCCACCACGGCGTGGGAGAGCTCGATCATCTGGTGGGCGTGCGTGAACGAGGAGGATGGGTTGGATTTTACGGTCCTTCAGACTAATGATGGCGGACGCGAGCTGAAGGCGCTGTGGAAGGGGGCGGAGTTGCGCGATTCGAGTCATCTCAGCGAGTTGCTCCGTGCGGATCCGCATTGGGAAATCATCCAGCTTCGCGCGGCGGTGCTTATTCTCGAGAGGCTAGAGACGCAGGCTTGGGTGCTTCGGGAGACGGGGTTGATGGTCTTGGAGATTGATGAGAATGAGGACATGCGGGCAATGTTCAGGCCGGATGTTTATGCTATGATCAAGCGGTTACGGGTGCTGGAGATGAATTTGTTGGGTCGGGGGATTGAAGGTTTGGCCACGCGGGTATGTTGCACTTTTTTTTTCGAGTTGTTTGTCTTGCGATTACGTTGCTAATTTGAGTGTTGCAGAGAGATGAGCTCATGGCCAGTCCCACGGTCAGTCGGTACCTTGGGCAGCAGCAGCCGGAGGCTGTTGGGGCGGAGGATGACTCCGGCCAGCAGCAGTCTGAAGATGTTGAGGAAGATTTCTCTTGAGGCGAACTGAGGACAACAGCGCTGAATGACGACTGGAGAAAATGCTAGAACTCGAGTTCTCTTAAGAGAAGCCATGATCGCACAACATGGCAGTGCCAACCCTATAAGTGGTGACATAGTATTAGTTATAGGTCTCTCAGTGATGTAACATAATCCGTAAGTAAACTGGGAGCCGGCCACCTTGGTAACTACCAGTACATTAATGATAGTAAGTATATTCAGGTATGAATATCTCCATAAAGAATACCAAGTCTAATTAAAATCCTAGTAGAATATGTAAAATACACAGTAATAAGAATTTTGTTCCACGCAATTGAGAAGGTAGTTTCTCAAGGAAAAAGAAAAGAAAAAAAGGGAAAAGAAAAAAACCAATCGAATTATAAATCTTCGTATTTCCACCAAAAAGGATAGTCCAGCCAGGTCTACTATCTCTCTAGGTGGTAAAAGCACACTGACAGTAGGGAGGCAACAGACTCCTATTATTATCTATTGATGCATGCCCATGTCTTTGAGTTGTGTAGCATAAGTTCTTCCAGAATGTCGCTATGAAGTATACCTTGGTTCCGGCAGAGAAGTCTTATTCAATGAAGTGCCCTATTATTCTCTGGCTCTTACCTGACTATCTACAAAACACCAAACAAACAACTCACAACAATAAAAGTGACATACCATTCTGCAAGTTCCCGATATCATGTGTTTCCCATATACGCCTCCACATACCGAAATAACTTATCTTTCAGCAAACTCCACCTTCATCATGCTAAAAGTCCGCTCTCACTCCGCCGCACAATTGAAGCTCTTCGCCCGATCATTCCACCCCAAGTACGCCAGATTCTCATAACCCGGGAAATGGATCTGCAGTTCCTGGCCATGACAGCCCGATTCCCTGGTACACACGAATCAACAACCATCCTCGAGACTGTCCACCGTAAGCAAGTAGGAGGAAAGGAGCCAACTCACGAATACAGCGTACACCAACTCCCTCGATCCGATCCCGCGGCCGAGACACCGCGATCGCCCGGCGGGAATTGGTCCGTGATGGTTGCTTTTTGGTCTTGTGTTAGTCAAAGGTGATTGAGCTGGGTTGGTAGGGTCGTAAAAAGTAGGTAGGTAGGTTGAGGCCAATACGTACTGCACTGCCCAAAGGGGGAGGTATAGTGGACACAGTAGCCCCGAAACAGCGCGTTCTCGCAGAGGTAGAGGCCGGAGTTGGCGTTGGTGTTGAAGAAGACGTGTTCGGCGGTGGTGACGCGGGTGGTGGTGGGGATGGGGGCTTCGAGGATGGTTTGGTCGGCTTGCGGCTCATGGCAGGGAAGGCTCGTGGCGGATTGGAAGAGGAGAGGGAGGAGGATGGTGGTGGTGGTGATGAGAAGATGCATTTTATTCGTTGGTGGAATTTGTGAAAGGGGTTTCTGGCTTGTTTTGCGGTTGCGGGGGATGGTTTGATGGGGATTGAAGGAGCGAGTTGGCACGACCTTATATACCTTTGCTCAGGTGTAATAGGACTGGATACGGCGTGCTTGTACTTCACTTCAAGTTGGCTGTTGGATGCCCAAAGACGATGGCTTTCCTCGAATATGCTTGCTTCGTGTTGGACTCTGTGCATATCGAACGCGACTGGATTATTCAACGGTGAGTCGAGGCATGCAAACGCTGTCAGATGAAGTGGTGCTTCGTGTTCGAAGAGCCTCATTCCTGAAGCTACCAATCGCCAGGACCAGTTCTTGTTGTCTATCCGGGGGAGCTGCGTCTGGGATCAAACCACCTCTACTTGATACTCTAATGGAGCCAAGAAACTCGAAGACTCGGACTGGCCGACGCCAAGAGACACGGAAGCTGTCAAGGGCATTTTAATTTGCCAGGGAAAGGTGCATAACAGAGCCAAGCACGAAGGATGTGCGCCAAGGCTCGGACGTGAAGAGGACTGGACTGATACAATGCAGGCTAATGCACAACCTGCATATTCTCGGGGAATGCTTAACGGCCGGACGCGAAGAGAACAAATCAGTGATGGGCACGTTGTGAGCTGTGCAGATTACCCATGCTGGAGGTTGACAGGAGACGGTCAAACAAGGGATCCAGAACGTCCACATTCTTCAGCTCGAGAAGGTGCATATATTGATACGAGCGTTGGCGTCCTGATGACGAGGAAGTGGCTGGTTTGTCGCGGAGTTGGGGATGTTCTTCCTTGGCGGGTAGCAATCTTATACTCTTGGTAGTGTAGAGCCCTTCAGTCGAATATCGAGTCAGGCTGATTGATTTTGATTATAGATATAAGATCTATGTGATGTACCTATACCCTGCTTCCCAACACGGCTACCTAAGTACGTTACCACCCGCACTGAAACACAAGGAATAAGCATAAAGCTAGAACAAAGACTAAAGTACATGCAAAAGGAATGACTACATACACCAAATCCCAATCTTTGATATCGAGCCCAGCTGAAAAGATATTGAGCGGGTTTCTTCGTCTGACAGGCCATGCTCCAGCATCTCGCAATCCCTGCCAGAACACACAGCCACACCGTCTGCGCTATCTCTTCCCCAACACCCCCCCCTTCTCATTTGCCTTAGAGAACAGACTCACCCCTAGTAAGGAGTCTGCTCATGGAACCACTTCATCATAAACTTAACCTGCGCCTTCTCCGCAATAGCCACATCCTCAAACGCATTGCCCAACTCCATGACCACCTGCGTGCCATTCTTGCTGTTCGGGCGCCACACGGGCAGCGTGCCGTTGCCCGTGTACGAGCCGCCCTCGTTGGGGTTCAGCGTCTTGGCGAAGTTGGCCCAGTACGCCGACATGTGCGCCTGGATCTCCCAGTCCTCGTCGGTAAAGGGGTAGGTGTCGACGTTCGCGTACAGCGCGTTCAACGCGTACATGATCTCGGACTGGTGGAAGGCGCCCTGGCTCTGGCCGGGCGGGGCGTGCGTCCAGTAGTAGGTGTAGAAGTCCGAGGTCGCGGCCTTGTACCAGTCCGTCGCGTAGGCCCAGGAGCCGATCAGCGAGGCGTCGCGGGCGGCGGCGTTCCACGAGCGGTCGGCGGTCGCGGCGGTGCCGTTGTCCGGGTACAGCCGGATGTACTCGTCGTACAGGTCGCCGTACTTGGCTTTGGTGTAGGTTTCGTACTGCTTGACCGTGTAGGAGGTTGTGGTCGAGGCGCCGGACTCGTCCTTCGTATTGCCGGTGATCACGGGGACGTCGTTGGCGGGCCCGTTGATGAGGGTTTCCAGGTAGGTCGAGGGCAGGACGTAGCCGTCGAGGACGGGCTTGAAGATCAAGGGGTAGCCGGCGGAAAGGGCGGTGATCGGGTCGATCCAGGTGCTGTTGACGCGGTCCTGCGAGCCCACCAGCAGGTCCTCCATGCTCAGCGTGCGCAGTTCGGCGATGCTGCTTGCGTTGTGGAAGGTCGTGTAGTTGACGCCGTGGAAGAGGGCGGTGGACATGTTCACGTAGGAGGTGGCCAGTCCCGCCAGCAGCGGGTCATAGGGGTAGCGGATGCCGGACTCGGAGATGCCTCCGTGGAAGTAGCCGCTGAACAGCGGGCTGTTGACAGCGTGGTAGACCTGAGACGAGCCGAAGGATTGGCCTGCAACGACGACGCGGTCCGGGTCGCCGCCGAATTGGGCGATGTTGTTGCGCACCCATTTAAGCACTTCGAGCTGGTCGAGAACACCGTAGTTACCGGAGGTGTTGTGGCCGGTGAGCTTCAGGCCTTCCTCGTTGAGCTCCGGATGCGCCAGGTAGCCGAAGGCGTCGTCACGTCGGTTGAAGGTGATCAGGATCACGTCCTTGAGCGCCATACCGCCGCCGTACCACCAGGCATCATCCGAGGTCTCGTCGCTGCCTTGGTTCCAGACCATGACGGGAAGCTTGTCACTGGCGCTGCCCGCGTTGGTCCACAGGTTCAGACTGAGACAGTCTTCGCTGATGTCCGTGGCGTACTCGCTAGGGCAGGCGGGGCCGAAGGCCGTCGCCTGGAGTGTCTCGTTCCACGGCGTGCGTGGCTGCGGCGCCTTCCAGCGGTTCTCGTAGCCCGTGTCCGCAGCGAAGGGGATGCCCAGGAAGGCGGTCACGTTGGACTCCGAGACGCCGAAGTACTTCTCCAGGGTCGACTGGTTGAAGTATTGGAAGCCCTGCACGGGACCGTAGCTGGTTTGGATGATCTCATCCCACAATTGGGCGTGGACGAGGGAGGCACCTAGGACCAAGGAGGCCAGGCCCTTGGTGGCGAGGGAAGGCATGCCTTGGTTTCTTGGACTTGTAAGGCAGAAGGGGAATGAGGTGGATGATGGTTGATAGAGAGTTGGAGGTGGCGAAGGGAGATGTGCGAGGTTTTATAACCTGCGTCCCTGCCAGGCACGGCTGCGACGGAGAGCCGTTAGATCTCCGTGACTACTGAGGGTGGTCTGACAGACTGGAACAAGCACACGTGGGGACGTGATTGAGAATAGTGCTTCATGCGCAGTCTGCATGACGATCCTTGCCGCAAGTTGTTAGACGCGCACTTCTAGAAACCAAGGGTGCCTTGCGAGACGCATCAGATATGCCTCAGCGGGGCGCGCAGCAGATTGACGGGTTGCATTTGCTGGGCGGACTGTCGTCATATCCTGCTCCATTGGAGTATAGTCCCAGGGTGTTATAGTTTGGTTTTCTTCACGGATTACTCTTCCGAGTCGAATGATGTGAGGCATTCAAACTGTGTCTCACTGGCAACCCTCAACAAGCTGAGTAACCAGAAAGACTTGTTGATTTTCAAGACATACGAGACCAAGAAAGTGATGAGAAGTGCGTCGTCCTAGGTACTCTTGACTGCCCGCTTCTCCGCTTCTCATTCCGCGCCGGGCGACGCGTAGTGAATGTAGTGCGTAGTGATGCAAGCGACCAAAAGATAAGCTCGGAGGATTCGGAGACTTGGCGGGATCGGCCGGCCCGCTTTACTGTCTGCAGGAACCAACTCCGCACAGCTGGGACGCGGCTCGGCGACTACTCCTAGGACAGGTAGTCCCGCACGAAACGCCCCTCTTGGGCACGGAGATACCCACAAAACCCGAGCTTGGCTCGCAAACTACGCCCATTTTGGGACTCACTCTCGGCAGTTGTGGTTTCATCATCTAAAGTGAGTTAGCACCGTTCGCACTGGGTCCTGTATACTTGATACTGGGTCGATCAAGTAGAAATTAGACTTCTCATGTACGTATGTCCAACTATTGGATAAAGTAAATCAAGGATAGGGAGTATCTAAGCCTTGAGTCTGACACTCGGAGATAGAGCCACTGCATGACTGGAAAGAAAACCTCTGACATGGAGAGGAAACGCAAAATAAACCCCAATTTCACGGAGCTACCAGATTCACCTCTCCTGTAAGAGACCAAGAGACCGGTTCATCAGCAACCACTTCTGACATCAGCTCAGCTACGGGCTGCAGCATCTCCTCGACCGGCTCTTGCCGCTTATGATTCTTCTTGTTGTTCTTCTTTTTCGTCTTGGCCCTTTTCAAGTAGGGGGCCCACGTGTTGTCCCCAGAGGCATCTTCCAAAGCTTGCGTCGCGACGGGACCTTCCGGTTCAGGTTCCTGCACAGGTTGCAATGCGGGTTGATCTTCCCACAACCGAGACTCGGATTCAGGCTTCATCCCTTGTTCCAGCGGCTGTTCTGGCTCCAGGTCTGAGACAATCTCTGGCTCTGGCACAGGCTCTGGTAGAGGATCTTCTTCAACCTCAATCTCAGGCTCAATCTCAGGCTCAACATCAGGCTCAACATCAGGCTCAACATCAGGCTCAACATCAGGCTCAACATCAGGCTCAACATCAGGCTCAACATCAGGCTCAACATCAGGCTCAGCCTCAGGCTCGACCTCGAGCTCGACCTCAAGCTCAGCTTCGAGCACAGGTACTGGTTCAGGTTCAGGCTCCGGCTCCGGAACAGACTCAGCCAGCAGGTCCGGCTCAGACACTTCCTCCGACTCACCCAGTCCAGTAAGGACTTGATTGGCCTCCTCTATCGCCCTCTCGAAAAGGACCAAGGTCTCATCGACAATGAAGCGATCAAAGCTCTCCTGCTTCCCAATGCCATATTCCCTGATGATCTGGCGCAGAGACACTTTCTCATCCATGAATTCTAACTCTAAACGCCGCCGAACAAACCCTTCAAGCCAGGCGCGGGTCATCTCATCGCCAAGACTGTCATATACTTCCCTTGTCACTTTCAAGAACTCCTCCGTCGGTAGCCGCTCGGCGAATCGCTCCAGGAAGTCCCTGGCCAGCTCCTGTAGCTCGGGGACTTCGTACCGCACCGCCGCGGCGTAGGTATGAATCGCGCGCGCAAGCTCCTCAATGTCACGGGCGCGTAGGATATTGGAAGCCTCTACGGCAGTCTCGACGGGTGGGCACAGGCTGTACAGAGTCTCATAGTGACCAGTACAGAGGTAATGGATAAAGGTATGGGCGGCTCGGGGTTCGATGGTCAGCTTAAGATGATAAAGTTGGCCGTCCACCCAGCCCGAGCAATCGTTGTATGTGCTGCGCCCTCGGTAGACGTCGGATGCATTGCACTTGAGCCGAGCGTAAGGACGCAGGTAGTATTGTAGAACGGTGTAGTATTCGTCCCCCACTTTAAATGTGATGGGGGCGGTCTTGTAGGGACTACTGACGTTAGAGCCAACTTTCATGCAAGAGGAGATCACAAGAACAACAAAAGAGAACATAGATACTAGAAACAGGGAAGGCAGGAATGATGAAGGTGATAAGGAAACATCAAGCATGGATTATCGAGGCATAAGATCCAACCCCATCGGGCTTACCTTTCATCTCGCTGAGGATATTCCGACAGTACTGGGATGCTAAGATTCTCTACTGTCTCGTCGTCTTGCAGAGGTGGCTGCTCCGGCTGACCTTCCGGTTCCGGCTCCGGCTTCTGGCGGGTCTTCATCTGTGTGAGTTGCTTCTTCTTCTTCTTGGCCATCTTGTTTGTCAGTTGACATCAGTTCATCGTTTTAGATGGGAAGACGGACAAAGAAGCATCTTTGTGTTGGCTTTATAGCCTGTTGACGGAGGTCAGACTGGGCTGGTGAGTCAAGTACTGTACACAATGACCCCCAGAACCTGGTGACACGTCAGTTCCTATCCCTGCAGCCAACGCCGCGGGGGCTATGCGTATTCGTGGAATACACACCCCGGTAGTTGGTGTGCGTTGGCAAGCAAACGGAGCATGGCGTTCCAACCCGCTAGCACGAGGCAGCCAGTGGCTGTTGAGCGGGGTAGGATCTTGACTCAGGCTTACCTTCCCCGGTCAGCGACTTTAACACCTTGCCAAAAATTCCACTTGGTTGATCAGAGGGCAGTTCTTTTTGGTAAAAGGAGAAGTCTATTGAAACAGTATTGGGTACCTTGCAAATTATGGGTGCTTCACCGTCGAGTCATTCTCCTCTTTTGGGTACAGCCCGCAGGACCTGTCAAGTCAACTAGAATAGAAGTCTGTTAGCTCTGAATATTGTAGTTTCTTTATAATTGTCCAGACTTATTAGGGTGAGGGCTCAGTCAAAAGACGGATACTCGTAGAAAGAGCACAAAAGGGCCCAGAGAATGCCCGTCTGAAGCGCTGCCACTGTGAACTCTCAGGATTCCAACCCTGCTAACCCTAACCTAATCTACGCGTACAGATACTATAAAACCTTTAATCCTCTTGTTAATCGGTTCTTCAATCTCTTTATGTTTTGTAATTCATAAGGACAGCAACAGTATGGTGCCGCCAGGAGTTGCCCACAAGTGTCTCTTATGTGCGTTCAATCTCTTTTGCCCCTTGAATGCATAGACATAGAGGTCATATCCTATCCCATTTCATGCCTACTATGGTTGGCCTGTCTTACTATGAGCGCTATTGCTTAATTATGTATACTGGTATAGTTACAGATGCCTGAATTGCGGTGGTCATTTAGCTAACCACCGGTTAAGAAAATATGGTGACAAACATCTGCGCCCTGCCATATGCAACAGGGAAGCATCTCATTTGGCCCTGAGAAACACTTATAGTACACACATGTGCGACTTTCCACAACTGGGACGCTTATAAAAAGATAGTTTACCTCAGCACCTTTTCAAGAGTCGGAGGTCTGAGAGGCATTCCATCAACACCGCCAAGACGACCCGCTTTCACCGGTGGCCATTCATCGTTGGCAAGCTTTGTGATGACGCCTCCGAAAGGAGTGGAAGAGGCTTGATTCTGACTATGTCAGGCTATTTGCGAGGAACTAGCTAAGGCCGCCGAGGTGGGCAGTGAGCTGGCGGCCTAAGGCAAGGAGACACCGGGCCGCCATCACTTTGAGATGTCGTAATATACGCCGCATTAATTGTGATTTCACCTGGATGGAAAGTATATACTGCTGGGTAAATGATGCAAACAGCCCTGAGAGCTAACCTTTAAATGGGGTATAGAGTCGGGCTACCGTGGTGAGGGAGGGGGAGGGGGAACGGGGACGGGGACGGGGCTCTGTCATCAGGTCATTCGTGCCCTAAATGTCATAGTAAGCACTAATTTGGGAATGCTGCAGCTGCACTAGGAAGCTATCTCTTGCAAGTGTAGCCACGTCAGCCCTGCAATATGTCTTTGAATCGCCTTCTTTATTGTATTGGATAGAAATGGGGAAAAAAAACCTCATATGGCCGAAAGCCTTCCTCTGTCTGAGTCTCTGAGGAGGTTCCGTCATCCTACATCGGAAGAAGCACCACCGCTCCCTGTATAACCCCCTCTTCACATTTAGTCCATCCTTATGCAAAAGCTCTCCGCACCAGATGTGCCCAACTTTTCTCCATATCATATCTCCCACAAAGATAGATTAGGCCAGTGCAGGTCAAACAAGAACAACGAGCTTCAGGGTCATGAATTCTTTTAATTGGTGTACAGCGCTGTACGTACAAGCGCGCGCCACTAGGTCGACTCCTTCATGCAGGTGGCAGCGCGTAAATTACTCTGAGCCTCAATGCAAAATGCCTATTAATATAGTACACCTGATTCCATAACTTCTCGCTTTCTCTTCAATTCCATTCTCTTGTCTCCTTCCTTCCTTTCTTCTCTCCCACTCTGATTCAATCTACTTGTACTATCCTGCATCCCGAAATGGAGAAAGTATGGTTCACCCTCCGCCAAACCGACTACCCCGCCCCTCCCGAAGAAGCCCTACTCTCCGGCCACCATGCCCGGAGTGACTTCACCACGTCCGACTCCGGCAATGCACCCTCCATAACCCTAGGCCACATCCTCCCCTCCCTCCGCCACCTCGACAATCCCCTCAACGGCCACAACCTCCTCCCTTTTCCCATCCGCATGCATGTCTACCACACTACCACCGCCAACTTCGTCTGGCATTCGACCGACCAGGCCGATAGATCTACTGCGCTGAAGTTGGGGGCGCCGATCGCCAGTGCTGTAACTGGGGGCGCTACCCCGGGGATGAAGTACAATCTTGCATTTAAGCAGACCGTGGAGAAGTACGAGGAGTACGAACGCCTCGATACGTATATTGTGACTCCGACGAGAGGGTATGTGCAGGATTGCTTGGATGCGTTGGAGGAAGATGAGGAGTACCGGGGAAAGGGGGTGAATGGGAAAAGATTGGGGGCATGGACGTTGTTCATGGTGACCGGGTTGAAAATTGCGCGATGTGCAAGCAGTCAAGGAGGAGAAGGAGGGGGAAAGAGGGAGGTGCGTGAGGAGAGGGGGAGGAGTGGCGGTGGGGGACCCGATGTGTAAGAGCCCTGTCCCTTATTCCCCTTGCCTTTCTACCTCTCACTCACACGAACCAATATGCTTGCTATTTCCGTGTGAGGAGAGACGCTAAGATGTGCTCTTATGGTTGGGTAGGGACGTTACCGGACTCGCGACCGTGACTGCCACGATCGAGCTTGCGCGCCGAGACACCAGCAGGAGCGAAGGAACGCATCAGTCGGATTTTGTGTGAGCGGTGCGGTTGGCGAAGATACATAAGGGGTGGCTTGCGAGAAACTGGTCGCTGGATCCGTACACCAAGGGAGCTTCGTGTGGAGTCGAGAAGGAAGAGGGAGAAGGGGAGGATCTTGATGTTGAGAAGGTGCTTACAGGAGAGGGACTGAGCCACTTCGAGATTGTCACGGATGGTGAGGCTGGTGAGGATTTGGTGGTGGTTGGGCAATGAGTAGAAACATCATCCTCTGTCTTATATAAATGCGTGTCACATACATATATACTTGGTGCTCGATATTAAATGGACGAGTCGATGTACAGTATACAGTCACCAGCTACATTTCAAGGTTCCAAGGTTCTATTCTACACCCTCCATAGCACGATGAAAGTCGAACTCCCAGTCCGCCTCCTGCTGATAGTTTATCGGAGCAGCCTTACAAGGAACAGAGGGCACAGGCCCGTTACAGAGTCCCTGCTTTATTGCATAGACATCACTGAAGACATCGGCCCGATAAGGACTCGTTAGAACTCAAACCACCACCATCTGTGTCATTGAGTTTGGAAGAAGGAATAGAGAGAAAGATTATATATCTACTAGAAGACAATGGGCCCGCAAGGCAAAAAGCGAGACCCACAGATCTCTGGGTCAACGACTCCGAAACCGAAAGCGAAGAAGATTCAACTCGCGCCGCCAGCCCTGTGCTTTCCGTGCACACCAACAGGAACCAGGAATTCCTCACCTGGGAAGACGCCGTGACGGACCAAATGCCAAATGGAATATTCCGCCCCTCGAAACGGTGAGGCAGAAGCTTGGCCGACACTACTGCCCTACCACTTCTGTCAAGATAAGGGTGATGGTTTTTGGGCTTTCTCACAGCCAATGTCTTTCAGTGGATCTTTTGCAGGACTGCACCGACACGATACTAATGATACAATAATTTCGCACACACATGAGCCCCGAGGAGGATACATGGGCCCTGATGATGTCTCGCGCTGAGAGTGCACTCCTAGTCACTCCAGGTCTCTGGGATGAAGATCAACTGGAGCCGGTTTACAACATACTGAAGCTCTCCATCATGTATCAGCACTTTGTTGGGTTCTAGCAGAGTCGAAGCTGGGATACAGCAGACAGGCCGGAAGACGGAAAGGATACGGCAGTCAAGTGTCCTGTTTGTGAGGAGTTATTCGGTGTGGTAAGTGGCGTTCGTCGGTTCATTTGTCCTTATGATGAGGACGCGGATGACACCGGGCTTGGACTGGAGCTTCAATGGGATAGCTGGCTCGCGTACTGGGATCATGCAGATGGGGCATGTGTTGTCCCCAAGGTCGGGGTGTTATCGGATGCTTAGTGCATTGTCGTCCAAGCAAACCCGGTCGCGGAGTCTGCTCTCTCTAAGCTATTGTGTTTTCGACAAGATTATTGACGGAATAGGTAAAAGACTGTTTGGCGTGTAACGATCGAGATATTTTGTAGCGCTGGGTGACCTGAATATTGTCTCGTCCTTACATGAAGGCTCCTTGGTACTTTGTTTAACCGCTGACACATCTCTATTCATACAGGAAAGAGTCTTTCTGAGTAAAATATACATAGTTCCAAAACAGGCTTCCATCATAGTAAAATGTGCCCAAGCGTCCTGCTCACATCCACTAGAAAGCCACCCCGGGCAATGACTATGACCTCCATATCTCTTCTCTAGTCTGCAGGAGTTTTTCTTAGCATAGAACTCCCTCGTCTTGAAGGAACATTCCGTAATGCTCAACTTCGTCGCTCGAAAATCGCCAGATGTTGCCGGAGCCGATTGCCTCTTGGATCTAATTCACTCCATCAGATCAATTTGGCCGATGTGCATGTATGTCATAGACTACCTCTTTCAAAGAATGGCTCTCGGCTTGAAAGAAATGATGGTTGCGTGCCCAGGTACTGATGTAACCTTCATGCTGAATATGGAGGCTGTGTTTCGACATCAAGTCGTCTGGAGTCAACGCTTTCCCATCGAACCAGTACAATTCCTTGTCGGAACACTGCACAATCGACCACATCTCCATGGTATTTCCACGCCCACTGCGAGTGAAGAACATGGCGACAGAGGACCAATCTTGTCTTTCTTGCTTCTCTCGAGGAGAGATGGAAGGGCATGTAGTTGTGGTATGTCTCACCTCAGTGGGGTTAGAATAGAATTCACTGGTTGTTCCCGAAAGAATGCGCTGAATTTATAGCTTCATACCGGGGAGATGGATGGCAGGAACCGCTACGGTGTACGCGGTTCTGGATCATCTTTCACATCTTTATTTTTAGATTTTTTTCTTTCGTCTGCACCCGGGGGTTGAGCTTGGTGTTCGGATGGCGTACATTCCCCCCCACTTCATCCAATCGTGTCTCTTGCGTGGCCACCACGGATGGGGCCGTTTGAGCTCTTCACTTCAGCTCCCCCATGCAGGGAGCTACGGAGATCGGAGAGATCTCTCATCGGCGGGTCCCCATTTCCATTTCTCTATTTGATTGGTCCCTCATCTGCCTAGTGCGTCGCTGACGAGATTGTGCGTTCTGATCTTCAGCTCGCCAGTACAGACTACATAGTACGTAGACTGTGTGTGTCGTATCTTGCCCGACACTGCAAACCGCTTGTTGGCGAGGAAGATCCACGCCCGCGAGGAGTGCCAGGAGGCCGCTGTTGATAGATGTACCCATTCCCGTGAGCTATACAGTGTTGCTACGAATCTTGTCACTTAAGCTTCTAGGCCAAGGCTAACATCATGACTCATTATTCGCATTTTCCAATCTAGCAATATCATACACCACCCCGGCTGAGTGATCGTAGAGTAATGACCGTTTCAAGGTCCTCATAGCGCAGCTCTCGTTCCTGGTCCCGCGCCAGCAGATGGGCGGTTTTGAGGATATTCTTGATCTGCCGACCATTCAGTGTGATCTCGGCAAGGCTGTCAAAATGCGCTTCTGTGAAACCCGTATTCTGATCTAGAAACTGCGCCCAGATTTGTCGCCGGGAGACGGAATCCAGGTCCGGATATTGCAGCGAGATGTGGATGCGCGAGTCAAAGGCCGGGTCGATGTTTTCCGCCCGGTTGCTGGTGAGAAAGAGAAGGCCCTGCAAGAAGATCATTTAGCAGGCCTCAAGGGTGTAACCGGACGGCCGGAGGGGAGGGGGGGGTGGTTTGTCTCGCGTACCTCATAATATTCCAGTTTGCGTAGGAAGATCGACACCAGCTCGTTCCGCGCGAGATCGGAGGTTGTGCGCGCTTCCAGGAACACGTCGGCCTCGTCAATGAGCAGAACCGCGCCCCACCGGGGAACGATCTCCAGAACTTCCTCTAAGGTGGATTCCACCTTTTCGGCGCTCGTACCGAGATCGCCCGCGCTGAGGATGTAAAGGGGCGCCTTCATGACTTCCGCGATGCTTTCCGCCGTCAATGTCTTGCCTACGCCCGGTGGACCGCTGAGTAGAAAATTGACGCCCTGGCCTTTGCCGCGGACCACATCGTCGAACAGATCCAGGGATTGTGCCTTGGCTACCGCAAGGATTAGTCATTTGAGATCCTGCTGCCCCCGCGGTAAGACCAATGACTCGAATGCGCGGTCGTTCCAGACAATATCCTCGACATAGTCGATCAGAAACGGCCGCCAGGTCTTCTTTCGCAGCGCGTAACCCTTCAAAATAGGCGTGGCCAGCAGCCGATGCTCGTCGCTTAGGGCTGCGTCTGCGACCCTCTCCTCATTCCCACTGTGAAACGACATTCCGCTGTGCTTGTGATACCCGACGGCATCAATCACAATCCGGCCGGGGCCTTTGAATTGTCTGTAGTGACACCCCTTGTACGTCTCCCAATTCTGGCCCCGCGTGACGAGCTGCTGCCGCATGCTCCCGGAGTCAGCATGGTACTCCAAGGGGAATATTGACAACTTCTCGATGGCCATCGTGCCTTGGAAGGGACAAATGCTGAAGCTCTGATACCGCATGTAGTACTCTTCGCCGTTGTAGTCAACATAGCCCGCCTTGATGTCCAGAGGACCGTCGGGGCCATGGGTCCAGGAGTCGACGCACTTGTACGCGCGCGGCCAGCCTTCCTGCGTCGAGAACAGGATTGTGTGCGGGGTGAAGAGGGTCCAGAGGAGGTCGTGGGTGATGACGCCGTTCTTCAGGCAATCGGCGCGGCGCGCCAAGATATCGCCCACTTCGCTGGTTAAAGTGCGATGGAGGACGTCCAGGTAGGGTCGAACGGCAGGATCTTGCTCACTTTCGCGAGCCTGCTCGAACTGGTCCCAGCGCCGGACGAACGGCACGAAGGGAAAGGAAAAGTCGACGTGCTCCAGCGTCATGGTGATCCCGGGGTATTCCGCGAAGACGGGAGTTAGGGCTTTCTTGACCGCCTCGTTGCGGAGGGTGATCGAGTGGACCTGCAGCCGCTCGCCCTCCTCCTTGGTCCAGCGGACCGCCATGGCATACCAGCCGGAGGAGTCGGAGTCAGACGGTTCGACAGTGAGGGACAAGTCTTTCGGCTTTTCGGTCGTCCACACCCCGTTCTGTTCGGCACGGTAGAGGTTCCACACATCGCTGGGTTCGTTTGTTGGCGTTACTGCAGATGCAGGTTCCCCTGTGGCACAAGGTTAACGACGCCCGGGAATGTGATTGATGCCGGGGGCTTAGTTCAAATAGCACGAGCAAATACCTTTTACCTCTGGGGAAATAGGTTGTTCCTCATCGTCGTGTGCCACAGAAGACGACGTAGCTGGTAGATTCGTGGTTGCCATCTTGATCCACCAGTATTGGATTCGAAGCATAAAACACATTCACAGGAGAATAATTTTAGAGCCAGGTCTCTTCTTTTTATACAGAGATTATAGAAGCGCATCCTCGCTGGGTGACCCATGGTTTGACACATATTTGACACATATTCTTTCCGGTGGGAGACATCCGTCCGCTCTGGGAGACGATTGTTTGTCCACTCTGTTTCCCCTGCTCCCGAATTCAGCCTCAATGAGCCACTCACTATTGATGAAGCCATTCCCATTTGGGAATGGGCATGAGGATGTGGCGTTGAGATCCATTATGGGAGCGAAAGCTGTTGAAAGAGGCCGAGGTGGCTGTGGATGGCTGTGGCTGAGGCAAACTTTTGACAGTCTGTCATTCGCATCGCTGTTCATGTCATATTCAACCTTGAACATGAAGCCTCAGCGAAAAGCGGAATGACAGGGAGGAATTTCCGCCGCTCCTGATTGGCTCGCTTGCTCACCCGCCTCCAGGCCCACCACCAGCCGTCGGGTACGCCGGGCATACTTATTATATGTTATCTAGTACTAGGTAGTTAGTGAAGACATAGTTCTATCACTGCCATCGAAGCAAAGACGGAGGTTTCCATCCTCCCTTTTCCATGCTCTTCCTCCCCCCCAAAATGGTCCTGGCTGGAGAAGCCCGCCCAATCTGACTGAGCTCCCCCTCAGCCAAAGACCAAGCCTGCTGTGGCTGCGCCACAGATTCGGCTGGAAAGTGGATTGGTGGCTTTACGCCCTGGCTGCACTAAGCGAACTATTGAATTGTGGCTGAGATGCTGCATCTGTATTTTGGCACACTGTGACTCATTTTCCATTTAGAGCCAGCGAAGCCTCTAGAGATGTAGATCTAGGCCGGCTGAAGGATTGAAGGGTGTCCACAGCGGTTGTGCTATTGTATATTTTGACAAGGGTTTTGACAGATGTGAGATTAAAACAGCCACTTGTACCGTTGAGACAGACAGGGAGGGAAAAAAGAAAAAAAAAAAAAAAAAAAGGAGGGGAAGACGAAGGAATTCGTGGGATATACTAGCGGCATTCAAGCGATCAGTCGGAGCTGGTTGAAGGTGGAGATAACTCCTCGGAGCAGAAGCAGATGGTTTCTTAGAGCTGAGACATTTTCTGCAGCTGTTGGTGGCGGGGCAACCAACCGCAGGGTTCCATTGCAGATTGCAGCTTTGGAACGCACCCACAATCTGACAGACTGGGCTGACAGTCTTGAGACCCACCTACACTAAGCGATCGGAACACTGCAGCAAGAACTCGAAGCAGGAAGGGATGAAGCTGTGCAGTGATCCCGATGGATAGATGAAGATCTTCAAGAAATGAGTTCCGGGGGGGGGGGAGGGGGAGGCGAGTCAGAGGCACCTAGTAGGTCGTCCTTCCTTCCGCCACAGTAATGATAACTAACACTTATGGTTACTGAACTACCAACTTAAGTACAGTACGAAAGACGTACTAGGTACGGAGTTGTCTACCTAGTATCTACCTACCTACTAGTAGTACTCATAACGCATTGATTAGGGCTCAGCTTGCTTTCCGGCTCTCCCGACCCGTCCTTGCCTTTATAGTTAGACTCCAGCAACTTGCAAGCCACGAGCGAGACTAGATAAGTCTTCTTGACCTACTGGAGGTGGCTCAGATCACGCATCGCGAATAAGTTCATGTTCATCACAGGATCAAAATAGTTCCGCTAAGCCTAATTCCTTCATCGCCTAGCAGAGGTCAAAGAATCTAATTCCAACCTAACACGTCTACGTGGGGCTCCCTCTCCTTACAATTCGCCAGCATCAGGCCAATGGTGCTGATCGAGCAGAAGAAAGAGAGCCCAATAGGCAGTGTACAGTCCTATACATGTATAGTACGTGAAGTACAGTACTGTACATAGTCGGCTGGACCGGAGCTTCAGCCAGCCACCTGAATGCACCCTGCTCATATCACGCCAAACGGTGTTCACGCGGAGTTTGCGACTGTCATGGGCGCGGAAAATGTGGAAGGCCTTGTTGAATGGCTAGCTGAAGTGGCATGTTGGGGGAAAATTGGAGACTATCGTACTGCTAGCTTCAGTAGGGAAGAGAGAGGGGTGAAGCACGAAACGCCGGCTTTAGCTGAACCCTTAGGAGAGACTGTATAACTTCCCTGCCGACGCCAAGGGCTTTGTGTATAAAGGTTTGAGAACATCCCACTCAGTCGCTTTGGCTCACTCCACGCTTATCTTCTTGCTTGTGCTGGATCCTCGACTTTTTCCTTCTCCCTCTAGACGCCTCTGACCCTTTTCATCCCTACTGTCATGGATAAGTCTTCCTCCAAGCTCTCCGGTACGGGGTGTGACTTCGTGGTAGCCACCACTCAGGCGAGTATCAACTCCAGTCTGTTGGAGTACCTCGCTGAAGGCAGTCAACCCATGGAGTATATCTGTTACTTAGCGGATGAGAAAGGCAACCCCACACTGGAGATTGGTCGGGATCAGCTGCTGGAAAAGACCGGCGGCATCGACCCTTTCGACATAGATGCTGATACTCCGTACGATGATCCTCAAATTACCGCGGTCACGAAGGCGCGCTTCATGGTCGGGATCCGGATGCAATTGGGGCTTCCCCCGGGAGTGAATCCTCGAGACCTATCCGTTGTTACTCTGGTGGGAGATCGTCCTGACCGTGTCCTGTTCAATATGTACTGCTCCCAAGTCACCGTTATTCAGAACTCTCCGCCCGGCGGATGGGGCAATCCCGGATCGTGGAATGTATGGAACCAGCCGTATGGGCAGCCCTGGGTGGCCCAGGCCGAGGTCAATCTCGTCGTGGCCGATCTGGACCACAATTTGGACAGTTCCAGCTATCTGAACAATCACCCTGCCGTCAAGGACGAGCTACGAAAGGCCCTGGTCAACCTTTCGGGCACAGCATTCAGCCTGCAGCAGCTCCTGTTTGACCTGGACAATGCCGCCTTGCAAGGCGACCCTCAGTTTCCGGGCATGGACATGTCCAAGGACGCGGGGTATATCCTCCAGATGTACTTTGTCAAGCGGTATCAGCAGTCGGCAAAAGAACATGGGCTACCGCTCATCGCCGTGACCGCCGCCTCGCAGGATTCGGATCCTTCCCCCTTGCAGATGACCTCTCTTGAGCGGACCCTCACGCATCCCACCGGAAGCAGTAGCCCGGCGACCACCTTGAACTATCTCTGTGCCGTCGACAATCACCCGACCCCGTCGCCGTATACGAGGTTTGACTGGAACTGGGTTCAGCCCGCTGAGATCAGCGAGAGCAGTGGGGTGATAGCCATCCGCCGCGAGATCTTCGCCGATCTGATCGCCCAGAGCTTGCAGGACGCAGTAAACCGGAGTTGTTTTACCGCAAACGTTGAGAGCTATGGCTGCTCAGTCAGTGCCGACGGCAACAGGCCCCCGCCTAGTGTGTCGCCAAGCGGTAGCCATCTCATCTCCCTGGTGTGGGAATCCCTGCAGGCTGGGACAATGTACCCGATGCGGGATAGTTACCCAGTTGACACCACCCTGGGGGTCTTCTATACCCTGGATGCATACCTTGATGAGGATAGCATCAATGTCGCGCAGTGGCTCAAAGTGAACGCCTCGTGTGCAGCTGTGGCTTTGGAGGGTGGCATTACCGGTCACGTAAATGTTAATGTCGACCTGGTGAAAAAGTCAATGACTGATACATACAACCTGACCGTCACCCAAGACGGCGGGCTTCGGCTGGTTCGGGCTGGGGGAAGTGGTATGAAGGATGAGTCCGACCCCATCCCCGTGCCTGACTGGAATCCGAAGGCATGGCAACTGGTCCTGGCCGCCTTGCACAAGATCCAGGATGCAGTTTCCTTGGATGGGGGCGATCTGCATGAGCTGGAAGTCAGCAAGGTACAAAGCTTTGTCTTCCCCGGTGCTAGAGTCTTCACCTACAAGAGACCCACCTTCTCCCAGTACCAAGACCTATTGTTTGAAATTACTTATGTGGATCCCACCGAGGTAAGCGCCTCGCCTCAGCGCCCAGATCCCAGTCCGGCCACCAAATCTATCCATCCGGATCCCATGAAGCTCGCCACGGGGAAGCTGACCGTCTCCGCAGAATTGATTCAAAACTACGTGCAGGGCGAGATAATTTCCCCAACAGGAAAGTTCGAGGCCCTACAGACTGGCGATGGCCACACTCTGCTCTTTGGAATCGACTCGTCCGGGGTCCTTCAGGTTATTGAAGAGCAAAGCGGGACATGCCATGTGGGATGGCACGTACATGACCTATCGACGGCGGCGATCCAGGCGCAATTCATGAGCGATGCGTCCCGAGCGGTCGTCCGCACCTTCGACGTGGGGCAGAATGCGTTGGATGGGACGATTGGCCTGATGATGGCCGTTCATCTGGATGGAAATGACCATCTCTTCCACTGCCTGAACAACCCTAACCAGGATCTCTCCTGGACCGCGTGCCCAGCGTGGACGATGGTGCCATTCGACCCTGCCAATGAGACAACCCGTGCGATCACGATCGCCGGGGCCATGTTCGCAGAGACGTGGGAGAAGAGTCAGTTCCTTGTGGTCGATGTCGAGCGAACTCACTCGCAATCGGCCTCCGAAGCCCAGATCGTGCGATATCATATCGACACTGCCCACACAACCGGCCACTTCTGGGTCAAGAAGGATGTGACGATTGATCTAGCGACCGGAGCCTATCAAAGTGTGGTAGGTCGAGTGCGCGGAAAGCCTGTGGACGGCATCTACAATGCAGGGACTACGGGGGGGCAGCCGCAACTGGTGTACGAGCCTGTCATTAACGCCTACGGGGATGGTCCGGTCACCCCGCGGCGCTTGCGACTCCCAGGGGGAGCCATTCCCACTGCGATTGCTACCGCTCGGAATGCCGCCGATCACAGTACAGACCTCTACTGCGTCGGCGGCTCGACCCTGTACCGATTTGCGGCGGACCAACAGAGCGAGGCGAAGGACCCGCTAGCTCTCTGCACGAGCGAGTTCCTGGTGGGCACCGACACCCTGCGGGCGATGACCCACGGAGGCATGACGACCCTCTGGGGACGCAATCAAAGCGATCAGGTCTACTACCTGGCGTGCCGCACCAGCCAGCTTTCCAAGCCCGCGGCGTGGAGTATGCCCTTTCCCATCTTGTCCGGCATTGAGCGCATCTCAGCCTACGTCAATTGTGCCGATGGGGGGAGAACCATTTTTGCTGCCGGCAACGGGAGGCTCCAGAAGATTGTCCAGGGTTCCCCTGCTACGGGGGGAGTCTGGAGGGCCCAGGATATCACCGTGACTGCAGCACCCAGCCAGCCATGCACGAGCTTCCGCTCGTACACCACGACCATCCATGTCACGGAGCTCACCTCGAACGCGCCAGTGCCCAAGGCGATGGTGAAGCTATCCGCCAGCAGCCGCACCCCGGTGTTCATCAACGGACTCTACTACGTCCTGTCGGCAACGGTCCCCGTCCAAGTTCCCGCGGACCCTTCGGGGGTCCTGACCGTGATCGAGGCCACCAACGATAGCCTGCAAGCGGCCGTGCTGACTGTCGGACTGGAAAACACCACTCTGACCATCAACCCTACCGACCAGACCATGGCCAGAATCACCGCGTTGGACTCGGCCGACAAACTCCGCGGCGCGCAGGTCCCCACGCAGACCATCGCTGGCGGTGTTGACGGAGCGTCCACGTACACCTCCCTTGTCAGCCCCTCGGCAGCGGACGACGACGTGGCGGCGGTCGCGCAGAGCATGGGCGTGCTGAAGGATGCCTATGCCAAGGTCCAGGTTCCTGCTCAGACCACGATGTGCCAGTCTCACGTGGCGCTCACGCTTCGCGCCGCACCCGCGTCCGCGACGAGGACCCTCAATCTGAATTTCTTCGGGGATCTGTGGGACGGAATCGGCGCGATCGTGGGGGATATCAAGGAGATCCTGGGTTCCATCGGGGACGCGCTGTCGGCCGCCTGGGGAGACACCTGGCAGTGGCTCAAGAATGCCGGGAAGACGCTGGGCCGGATTGTGGTCGACGCAGCCACGGGCGCGATGCACTTCCTCGCCAAGATCGGGGGCCAGATCTTCCACGCGGCGCTGAATACTGTACATGCGGTGGCTGGGGCCATCGGCTGGCTGGTAGACAAGATCAAGGACGCGGCTACCTCCCTGGTCGACTGGGCTCTGGTCTTGCTCGACTGGGGGGACATCCGGCGCACCAAGCAGGTGGCGCACAACCTGATCCGCCTATGGATGCAGCACCAGGTGGATCAGATTCCCCAGGTCGCCGCGCGCTGGGACCAAGCCATCACGGGCCTCGAGCAGACAATCGATCAATGGTCGGGCGCTTCCGACTTTGCTCCGCTCGGGGCGGACGGAGAGGTGATGAAGAAGCCTGGCGCGCAAGGGGCCGCCAACCCTAATCAGGGCCAGACCTCGGCCTCCCAGCTATTTGTCACTCACTACCGCAACCACGCGCATCAGCTTACGGTCGTCGGGGACAGCCCATCCCTGGACGGTGTCGAAGGCCTGCTGGAAGATCTGTTGGCCGCCATCAGTAAGGAGGGCGCCGTCCTTGGGACCGTCTTCGATCAGCTCCAGCAGCTGCTGGACGACTTTTCAAGCATCAGCCTGGAGGAGGTACTCAAGCGCATGATGGGTATTCTGGCCGATGGCGTGATGTCCAGCGTTCAGGTTGTGGGGGACACCTTGCTACGCATCCTCCAGACCCTGACCCAGTCCGCCCTCGCCGTGCTCGACACCAAGATCCATATCCCTATCATCTCTGATCTTCTCAACCTGGTCGGGGTGCCGGACATCTCCTTCCTCGACCTCTTCACCTGGATCATCGCCGTGGCGTATACTATCGTGTACAAGATCACGCACAACAAACGCGCGCCGTTCCCAGACACTACCTCGGTGTCGGCCCTCATCGCCGCGGGCAGCTGGGAGGAGCTCTGCAGCCTCTTTGGGCAGTCCGCTTCCTCCGCGTCGGCGCACAGGTCCTCGTCTCTCACCGGCAGCCCACACCCCAGCAGCCAGCTGGCCGTGTCTAGCGATCTGCAGCAGATGATCTTCGCGCCCGGCCACGCCCTCGCGGGCCTCGCAGGCGTCATCCTCGGGTCCGTGAGCACTTTCGAGGCCGAATGCGAGACGGGCAGCAACCCCTTCTCCTGGCCAGGGATTGTCCTGGCCATCACCAGCGCTGCCCTGCAGGGCGCCACCAACTTCCTCGCGCCGCACGACCCCATCGCCAACGAGGTCGTCAGTGACAGCACGTGGGGCCTCCTCGCTATCCGGATTGCCAGCAAGGTCTTCTTCGCCGTCAAGGGCCCCAGCGAGCCCGTCGCCCCCGCCAACGTCGGCAAGCTGGTGATGAGCAACGCCCGCGGCGTGAGCGCCATCGTCGACACGGTGCTGATCCTCCCGGACATTGCCATCACTGGCTGGCACATCGGCGAGCTGGCCCAGAAGCCCGCCGGCAAGGTCAAGTCCGCCGCCATCCTGGAGGAGTGCGGGAAAGTGGCGTCGTGGATCTCGCGGGCCGCCTACGCCATCGCGCTGAACGATCCCGAGCCGGATTCGAAGGAGATCGCGGTGGGGTTGACGGGGATGGCCATCTGGGTCGCCGCTGGGTTTCAGCTGGGGGAAGCGGAGTGGTGTTGATCTCATGAGGGTTTGGCTGAAAGAAGGTCCCCGGGGAAGGGGGGCTGTAATGTGAACGGTCTCTGGAGGATGGATCAGTAGATGGAAAAGGGCCAAACCCTGCCCTTTTTCCTCGCGGGATATTCTTCACTTTCTTTTTTGTTATGTTCCCTTTCATATACTGTAGTGGCTAAATCAAAAAGATAACTCTCGTATACTGACTGGTTCTCGCTTGATCTCATTCTTCCTGACAAAAAGCTTCCCTGCATTTGGGCCCCGACTCCTAGCCGTTGTTTAGGGCACCGCTCTCACACACACGTTCCGCAACTAAACTGTAGCGATGGGCTTGCATCTACCTATCTTTTGTTTTATTGAGAGGCAAAGCACGACGGCTCGGTTTCTTCCTCTCAATCTGATGGACAAAAGACAAAAGACAAGTGTACTGATGCTGAAGGGACTGTCAGGGACCTTGCTTTTTCCGAATATTCGTGTATATCGGTTCATGGGTGAATGCTGAATATTTACGCTTCTTTCCCCCCCTCCTTACTGTAAGCCCTGTTTGACACTCTGCAAGCCCATTCGCAGCGTTCGCTTGGCCTATCGAATTGGACGAGTTGGCTGGTGTGGTCGATATACCGGAGGAGCTCTCCGAAAGCCAAGGACTTCTAGCATATAGGCTGGCGAGGGCCTGCGGCCTCCCAGGCTGCTTGCTCACCGGGCCTTAGCTAGTTCCGCAGATAGCCTCACATAGTGAGAATCAAGTCTCTTTCACCTCTCAGAGGCGTCACCAATACTACAGTACATATAGGTAGATTTAGCCTGTACAACACATGTCCATCAAGGCATTGTGGTCGTGATCAACTTAAGAACAGGTAGAATAAAAAGAAAGTCAAAGGAGTAAACTGGAGTAATATACAACGGGGCACGGATCACTCCACCCTCACCTCCACCTCCATCACCTTCTGGATCTGCAGCTGACATCCTCCCCCCTCGCAGCCTAGGATCCCCCCCTGCTCGCCCATCCGGCCCCTGGGCGGAGAGGAAGCCACTGCTCCTGCATGAGAAGCAGCAGGCCCGTGTCCATGACTATGCCGCCCGCTCCCATTGGTTCCTCTCTCATTACTCTCCAGCGAACTGCTATCCCCACTACTATGCTCGATCGTGGTCGTCACCATCACCGCATTATCCCACGGCCGCTCCTGATATTGATCCGCCGCCTGGTGGTGGTGGCGCTGACCCAGCTCCAGGAACTCGCCGGCCTGGTCGTCCGTCTCCGAGGGGAGCATGCGGCTCTGGTTGCGCTGCGTGCGGCGGACCCCGCTCATCAGCCCGTACGAGCGCGAGTGGTTGTTCAGGGTCTGGCTGCCCGACACGCCGGCGGTGCGCTTGCGGCGGCGGGTCCGGTAGCTGGAGGAGAGGGTCGAGGCGAAGGCGTGGAAGTAGGGGCCATAGGTTGGGATGCAGGCAATGATCACCTGGGTTGCTGCGTTAGTAGTAGTCCGTTTTTCTCTTCCTTTGGTAGAGGTAAAGCGCAGGAGGGTAAGGACACGGTTAGGGCATGGTAGAAATCGGGCAGGGTAACGGGCAGGACGAGAACTTACTCCCAGACTGATCTCCACGTCCGACCACAGGACGATCGGCTGGCTGTCCGTGTAGGTCTTGAGGTTCTTGATGGTGAAGATGCGGATGATCTGGATGATGGTGATGAAGAAGCCGAGGGCGAAGATGGCGATCAGGGCTACCTATTGTTTTGTTCCGGGGGTCAGCATCGGGCGATCGGGTCGCACGGGGAAAGTCCAAGAACCTTTTGCGTATGGCGGAGTTGTAAGGTCCAGAGGACGGGAAGAGGAAGAGCGATGATCACAATATCGAAGCCGAGACTTGTTCCTGTATTGTGGTGTATATGGTTATGGACTGGGTTCTGGGGGGCGGGGAGCGGGACGTTCTGTACCAGCCAAGGCTGTTGTTTCTGTCAGTTTCCTGATACTGATTGTATCAAATCTGTGGGATGGTTTGCCTACCGTAGTATGAAGCTACCGTGTCAATGCATGTTCCAGGGATGCTCGAGTCCCATTGCTTTGCAACCTAATCGCGTATCAGAGGGAGCTACAAGCGGACAAGAAGCTATTGCAAAGTGTGAACTGACCGGTTGACAGGCCAGAGTCAGAAGGAGTGTAAAGACCAGCTGGTTGCATGTCACCGCGCCAGTCACAGCGATAATAACCCATCGGTATGCGGCCACAAACCCGCCAATTCGTAGGTAGGAGGTCAAAAGCGAGACTTTGAAGAAGAGAAGCGCAAGGATGTATAATGGACCGCCAGCATATTGGATCTGAGCCAGTTAGTCAGTGCCACTCATGGCAGGTGAAAAGTACCAACCTTACTGAACATCACGACATTGGCGTCTGGGAAAGACGCTGCGTCCAATCCAAGCCCATACCGTGTCTCTGAACAGTGAAATTGACCGTCAGCTTTTGTCCAGGAGGATTTGCACTTGCGAGAAGGAGAAAAGCGTACGAGCCACCGAGACTCCGGCATAGCCTAACCCCAACAACGCACTGCAAATCGCCGCATAGTCGTCGAACCAGAGGTCGCGTTTTGTGTGTAACCGGATGTGAAGCCGTAGCAGCACGGCTAGCAGGGCACTGATGCTGAAGGTCAAGCAGATCGCGATGACCCGGGCAACGTGGCTGTGGGGATCTGGGTGGGCGAGGTTATGGACCCAGGGCATGGCATTCCTGTTAATGGGGCAGACAGGGGTGGTGAAGAATCAACAACAAAGGTTCTTGTAGATAGTGCAATGCACCAGAGACACATCATGCAAGGTGGGAAGACCCGAGCCCTGGGGAACAAGCATCCTTTTTTTTTCTTTTTTCCCTTTTTCGTGAATTTCTTTTGTTCATGTTGCTTCGAGAAATTCTCGGTTCCTGCAGCTAGCAATCGGCACGTTCGGAACCCCCCTGTCCGGTAGGTAATAAGTTAATATGCACGAAGTCAAATCCAAGACATCGGCTGCATTGGCACTGCACCATTTCCGAGGCCATCTACGCCATCGTGCATTCGACTGAGACTAACGCAGTACTAACGTGCGCCGTTGTGGGGCGCCAGCACGGGGGAACCGGACCGCGCATCTCGCCAGCGGGGGCACTGTCCAGTCGGTCAATAAACGTGGAGACTAACGACTTAAGCGAGATGGTTTGAGATTGAATGTAGATTAACTGCTTATCTATAACAAGGATAGTTGGAATAGTCTAGGCAACCGACCGAGTTTTCCGACCATGAAGGAATAGGGCAAGAGTCCACTCTAGAAGGGCAATGGCCTGATAGTAATCATATTCTTAGCCCTAGGTCAAGCATAAGTAGTCTGCTGCACAATAACGGAGTAGATGTAGGAACTGGCAAGGGGGTGTCCCACTTGGTGTCATGTTCGGCAGCCAAGCCTCGGAAACGTTGGGATATAAATTGGCCTTTCGCACCCCCCCCTGTCGCTCACTGGAAGATCGTCTTCAAGCAGAGCCAGTCATCTCGCGATCGTCATGCCCTCAGCCACCTTCTGGACCAGCTTGCTGGCCCTCACGGCCGCCGCTACGGCGAGCCCCCACAGCCCCCGAAGCACCAGCAATTCCACCAGCTGTCGCTGCTTCCCTGGCGATGCGTGCTGGCCCTCCACCAGTGAATGGGCGAAGTTGAACCAGACGGTGGACGGCCGTCTCATCAAGACCATTCCCCTCGGCAAGCCCTGCCATGCGCCTAACTACGACGCCGCAGTCTGCGATGCCCTCAAGGAGGAATGGACGGAGCCTGAGCTTCAGTAAGCCACTCCAACTTTGACTTCACCCCTTGCGTCCCTCATGGACCACCCCTTACTGATCCGTGCCGTCCCCCCACAGCTACAAGTCCAGCAGCTCCATCATGGCCCCATGGTTCACCAACGGCACTTGCGACCCGTTCCACCCGGTTTCCAAGCCCTGCACGATGGGCAACTATGTCGACTACGCTGTCAACGTCTCGACCCCGGCCCATATCTCGGCCACGTTGAAGTTCGCCCACGAGCACAACATCCGCCTGGTGATCCGTAACACAGGGCACGACTATAACGGCAAGTCCACCGGTGCCGGCGGACTGGGCGTCTGGACGCACAACCTGAAGTCGCGGACGCTGGTGGACTACAACTCGACCCACTACTCCGGACCGGCTGTGCGGCTGGGTGCGGGTGTCCAGGGCTTCGAGGCGTACGAGTTTGCCGATGAGCACGGCTACCAGGTCGTGGGTGGCGAGTGCTCGTCCGTTGGCATTGCGGGCGGCTACTCGCAGGGTGGCGGCCACTCGGCGCTGTCCTCCAAGTACGGCATGGCGGCAGACCAGGTGCTGGCGTGGGAGGTTGTCACCGGCGCCGGAGAGTTCGTGACTGCCACCCGCGATAACGAGTACAAGGACCTGTACTGGGCCCTGAGCGGTGGCGGTGGTGGCACGTACGGCGTGGTCGTGGCCATGACTTCCAAGCTGCACACCTCGACCCCGACCTCCGGCCTCAACCTCACCTTCACCAACGACGGCATCTCCCAGGACACCTTCTTCGAGGCGGTGACCCTCTACCATACCCTCCTGCCCAGCATCGTCGACGCCGGCGTGATGAGCATCTGGTACTTCACCAACACCACCTTCTACATCTCCCCGCTGACCGGACCGGGGGTCCCCGTCGACACGCTCCGCTCCCTGGTCCAGCCCTTCGAAGCCGGCCTAACCAAGCTGGGAATCCAGTACACCCTCACCGCGAAGGAGTTCGACACCTACCTGGAGCAATTCAACACGATGGAAGCCGAGATCGCCGTCGGCAAGGCCCAATACGGCGGATGGCTGATCCCGCGGGAGGTGGTGGAGCAGAACACGACCGCGCTGACGGAGGCCTACCGCGCCATCGTCGAGGACGGGGCGACCTTCATCGGCGTCGGGCTGAACGTCAACCGCACCGTGGCCGGCGACGTCGACAACGCGGTCCTGCCCGCCTGGCGCGAGGCCCTGATCGACACCACCCTGACCACCCCCTGGGAGTGGGACGCCCGCGCCGCCATGATCGAGGAGCAGGACAAGATGACCAAGGACTACATCCCGCGGCTGCAGGCCCTGGCCCCCAACTCCGGCGCCTACATGAACGAGGGCAACTTCCAGCAGCCCAACTGGCAGAAAGCCTTCTACGGCGTCAACTATGACGCCCTGCTGCAGATCAAGAACAAGTACGATCCCTACGGGCTGTTCTATGCGCGCACCGCTGTCGGCGCGGACGCGTGGACTGAGTCGGCGGATGGGAGGTTGTGTCGTGCTTAGTGGATTGTATGTAGAGATTGACAGTCGATAGTCGGAACAAGTGTATTTTTAGATATATTCAATATATTCTGCAAGTTTTATTGGTTGCACCTACACGTTTATTTATCATCTTTGCAGCGAGGGAGTTTAGGCCACAGAGCATAGATTAAAAAGGGGGCTCGGTTGCGCCGCATGATTAGGTATAGTACCTACCGACAGGCGTGCCTCATCTCGGACACATCAAATATGACTATCGGGACATGAACCATAGTGCAATGATCCAGCATGGGAGACTACATGACTCTGTCTTTTTTTACAGAACAAGGTATATAAAGCTAACCACTGGTTTTCCAGGCACATACGACCACAGGGTGTGGAAAATAGGGCTTCCCGTCCGCTCAGCCGTACTCAAGCCACACGCCGGGAGGTTAGTAGTTGGGTGGGTGACCACCAGCGAATCCCTTCTGTTGTATGTTTTTGCTTTTCAATTTCACCCTTTTTGCGTTTCCTGCACGCGTGCAATTGCGTATGTGTCCTGAGACTGTGTTAGATTTTAGGTTCTTACTTTCGTTGTTGGAGTCTTTCCTTCAAGAATCAGCAAGACATATCACATAACCATACCAGACGTCCCCCAGGGGCCATTTCGAACCCAGCGATGGATTCACCTTGCGACCCTTTGCAAGATGCGAAATAA